CTCATGTGTTCGAATGCTCAGTTCCCAGCTGATGGAACTGTTCGGGAAGGATTATGAGGTGTGGTCTATAAGCAGGCCTACAGTTAAATGATTTCTTTATACGTTGCCTTGCTCATGGCCTCACTCTTCACAGCTGTTGAAAAGTAACTGAGGTCTGGGATATATATCTTCAAAGGAGGGTGAAGTAATTAAATCTGTACCCTTCGCAGAAGCAGCTGACTCTGGGGCTGTCGTCAGAAATTAACTATGTAGTTATTAACAGTGTGCTTGCCTCACAAGACCTCAGGGTTTAAGAAAACTAAAAAGTAATTTCATCATCAATTTCCTTCCATCTTTGAGATGTTATAGAGAGGAAGAGGAGAGTATAATAAAAGCAGTTATAAACGTGTAGACAAGGAAGTGTGTGGATATGAGGCAAACATGTGCTACATGTTTGAAAATGTCATAACGAAACCTAGTAATTTATATGCTAAAAATGTAATAACAATTACAGGTATAAACCCTAGGCTTCTAAAACAGAAACAGGGGATTGTGAGCAAGCTAGCTAGCCAGACCATACTGGCAAGTTTTGGGTTCCGCTGAGAGACCCTGCCTCAATGAATAAGATGGAGGGCCATCTAATAAGATTTGTGCTGTCAACCTCGGGCCTCCACGTGTATGCTCACACAGAAGCACATGCACCTGCATACACACAGAAACATACACATGCATACACACGAGTGTACACGATACATACAGACGTATAGAAAAAGGAAACAGGAGCTAGATATGATGGTGTGCACTCTTAACCTAGAAGCAGGCAGATCTCTGTGAGTTCAAGACCAGCCTGATCTATACCACAAGTTCCAGAACAGCCATTGCTCACAGTGAGGCTGTATCTAGAGAGAGAGAGAGAGAGAGAGAGAGAGAGAGAGAGAATGCAGAGACTAGGTAACCAGAGAAGCACTGACATCCAGTCATCTTTGTCTCTTGTGTCTGATGAACACACACACACACACACACACACACACACACACACACGCACTCCTTCACCAAGAGTCTTAAGTTATAACAACGTTGAAATGTCTCTGTCCTGCCACAATTCAGTGTGCTTGCCATTTCCTGCCCTTCCCTTGGTGACAGTTCTCTAACATGCTTCGCTTTCAACAAAACAACATAAATAATTTAAACGACTATAAAGTGATATACGATACAAAAGGATGGAAGGTTTAGACTATCTGCTGGAAACCAGCAACGTCACAAGTCCTCCACCTGCCCTAGGCTCCCTGGGGGTTTGGGAATGACTGAAGCAAGGCTCTTCCGTCCGTGTCTCTTTACTGTTTATGACAAAATGCTCCAAAGAGCAGCGTAGAGGCCATTGTAGGTATGTAGGCTGAGAAATGTAAGGAGGACTTCAAGATATCTTCAGCCCCAGCTCCAACGTGACCTCAAACACAGCAGTTCCCTTAGTGAGAGCTTCCCGAGCTCAGTCAACTCAAGCCCTGATTTGCAATGATGAATCTCAGTTCCTGGTTTAACTGATTTAACTGACAAAACTTAGGTGATCTGTTTAAGACCAAGACTTAAGTCCTCAGAACTGGGCAATTAAACCCAATGCAGGTGACAGCGGCTTGGGACAGAGCGGCAGATGAAGACAGAGCACACTGAAGCTTGTTTAGTTTGGGTTTGAGACAGGGGCTCAGGTAGCTCCAGGTGGCCCTGAATTCCTTATGTAGCTGACTGTCCTTGGACGCCCGAACCTCTGGCTTTTACCTCCTAACAGCTGAGATTCCAGACATAGCCGTCCACTGCTGATATTATTTTTCTATGTTTTTTGAAGTGGTCCCACGGAGGCCAACCTGGTCTCATCATGAATTAGTCGTGTAGCCGAAGATGACCTTGAAGTCCCAGTGTTCCTACATCTTCCCCTGCTGTGCTGGGACTCCGGGTGTTTGCCACTGTGGTCATCTCACACGCTCACTGCAGTCAAATGCCTTCAATCCAACAACTGTCAGTCATTCCAAGAACTCTTGGCCCCAAATTTATGTCTCCGGTCTGGACATTTCCTACATTGCATTTCCACTTTCTTTACTGGTTTTTCAACACAGGATTTCCCTGTGTATCCCTAGCTGTCCTGGAACTCACTCTGTAGAGCAGGCTGGCTTTGAACTCACAGTGATCAGCCTGCCTCTGCCTCTCAAATGCAGGAATTAAAGGTGTGTGCTACCACTGCCCAGCTAGATAGTCTAAAATCCTCACACTTCACCCCAAGCCTACTCCACTCAGTGTCCCCATCATTGTACCTGATGTCCTTCAAAGTCACATGGACTTTCTTCCTGACCCCTTGCCTTGCGCAGTTCTTCCAGTCTATTTACAAATCTCAACTCCATCATCAAACCTGTCCCAGAAGCCAGCCTCCCTGGCTCTACTCCCACTGCTTTGCTCTGAGTCATTCGCAGCTGGCTATCTCCTGGATTATTGAAAGAGCATCATCATAAACACGCAGATCATCCTCTTGTCTTTTCTAATAATAGCTGCTGGGAGGGGGAGGCTTGAGATGTAGCTCAGTTGGTAGACTCAGTAGCAGATGAGAAGTCTGGGATTTGATCCCCAGCACCACACAGACCAGAAATGACGATGTTCTCCCACTCCCTTTCGGAACCCACAAAGCGGTGACTCACGAGATGAGCACAATGTACCTGTCCCCTTTTTGCTCAAAGGCTTCCCTTCTGCTGACAGGTTGCCCAGTTTCCTTGTGGGACCATCTTCCTTTCAATCCAGACATACTTTTGAAATATTTTAGATCCTATAATTAGTAGATTGAAGGCAAACAATGAGTTTCCATAAAACAGCTACCCTAAGACTCCAATAAAGAAAAACAGCGCCCCTAGAGGCAAGGAGATGGGCTGCATCCGTGCCCCACCTTTCCTAAAGACTGCCTAAAGCAGCACCCCTTAACGCTGATAGGGTGAGAACAGCACTTCCTAGGGGTGGACAGGAGATAAGCACCCTTCAATCTTGAAACCAACAAACATTAGGCATGGTTCTAATTAATATAACTAACTTCATAGGCTTGTGGATAATAAGCCTAGTAACAAGCAAACAGAATAGAATCATCTGAAAAGTGGGATCATGGGTAATTGACCCAGATCTTCACATATGCTCGGTAGATGCTCTTACCTCTGAGCAACATTCTAGCCCAAACTCTGAGATAGGGGAAGGGGGATAGTGAGTCCAATGTGCTCAAGAGAAGTAGACATCAAGGAAATAAATGGCATGGGCCCTAGAGCCAGGATACTTGCCAGGGGACAACCGGCAAGGCACCTAATCTGTCTGCAGCTGGTATCCTGACCTATTGAAAACAGCCAAGCAAACCAGAGAAAAACAGGCGGTTCTATCTACCTGGGGCCAGCACTATAAATACAAAGGCTTTTTGCTCAGTGCCTGGCATGCAGGAAGTACCATCTAAGTGCTGCCTGTGGCTGGGGTTAGTACGGCCTGTGCTAACCTGGGAGCTAATGGAATGGATGGGACCTGAGTAAGCAGGCTGGCCACAAGGATCTCTGAGGTACCTGAAGAGACAGCGCTGAGGCCCTTCACACCAGCAGAGTGGAATGCGAACCAAGGGCCACGTCAAGGAAGACAAGTGAGGATGAGACGGTTTTATTTTCAAGTAAACATTTTATACATTTATTTATTGTATGGGGGTATGCTATACCATGAGTGGGGTTCAGAGTGTAACTTGTGGGAGTCAGCACTCTCCTTCGAACACATGGATCCCAGGGATCAAACTCAGGTCACCAGGGTCGGCAGCAAGCACCTTTATTCCATGAACCATCTCAATGGCCCATTTACTTTAAAACCAGCAATTCCTAACTGGCTCCAGAAAGAGCACTTCACCGCATGCACACCCACTTGGCTCTTCTTTGCCCTTGTCCCTTTATTCTTATGTGTGTAAATGCTTTGATTGCATATGTGTGTGCCCAGTGCCCATGGGTCCCTGAAAAGGGAGTTCCAGGCAGCTGTGAGCTGTAGATGCTGGGAACTAAACCAGGCGCCCACTGTGAGAGCCACAAATGCTCCTGTACCTGCTGAAAACTCACTCTGTAGACCAGGCTGACCTCGAACACATAGACATCATAGAGATCCACCTGTCTCTGCCTCCTGAGTGCTGGCAATAAAGGTGTGCGCCACCACTGTCCAGTTAGTTCCTTATCTACTTATTTTAAATATAGCACTTCATGATGTAGCATAGGATAGCCTGGAACTCTGTATGTAGATCAGGGTGGTCTCAAATTCAGAGATCTTCCCGCCTCTTCCTTGGAAGCCCTGGGACTAGAGGTGTGAGCCACTCTATGCCCAGCCGGTCCCCGCCCATTTCTCTTCCACAAAAAGACTACGCACAGAGGACTCCTTCTGAATGGGCATCACTCTTTATTGGAGTTTGTGTTGGGAACTGAACAGAGCACATTGTCTGTGGAGAAGAGGAGAAGGGGAAGAAAAGAAAATATGCTTCTGAAGATTTCATTTTCTTAGAACACTTTATGGTTTCAAATCCTTTTTTTACCCCACAGGAAGTTCAAGAATTCAAGTATGTTGCGTAGGGAGCGGTAATACAAAGGGTTTCTGCTCGCGTGCACCAGCGTGGTGGCGTTTGTCCGGGCGTGGAAACAAGCAGACAGATTTTCACATTTCTTCTACTCTCTTTTTTTTGTTTTTTGTTTTTGCTTTGGTAAGGCCAAACACCAAAAGGACACAGCATACAAATAAACCCAGGGTTGGGGAATCTATTGATTCCCAGAGGATAATGGCAATAGGTTTGGAATTGTCACATTGGCTTAAAAAAAACAAAACAAAACAAAACAAAAACACAACCCTCACCTCCCCAAACCCCACAAGTCACACGAGTCCTGATCCACTTCAGCCATCCCGATGCTGCACCTGTTCCCCAGAATCTTACTCGAGGGCTTGGTAGAAAGGCCAGGGCAACAGGGCTCTCTTAATTTTGTTTATAAAAAAAAAAAAAAAAAAAAAAAAAAAAAAAGGGCTATTTCAAAAGGGAAAAAAAACTGAAATTCAAATTCTGAAAATATCTTGCCTTTTTTATTAATCATGTCATCTAACACCAATTAAAAAAACAAGTATGTGAATATGATATAAAAATACGATCCCAAGATTAACACTTTGTCGCAGGCACAGGTATCTCACAGAATACGTGTTTGGAGGTCGGGAAAGGAGTCTGGTTTTGTTTCTCTTTAAAAAACCTACAGCGCAAGGAGGGTGAGGAAGGGGGAGATTCTTTAGCAGCAAAATGTCCGAGTTCTCTAGTCACATCGAAAAAACAAAACAGAACGAAAGCTCAGGGGGATGCTGCCCAGACCCGCTGCCATCACTAAAGACTTCCGTCGCCACAGCCCCAGGTGTGACAGGCGAGGGACGCGCTTTACTACACAGGCAATCGTAAAACTCGTCCCCCAAGCTTTTGACAGTTTGTCACTTAAATATATGTACAGGAATCGGGCTCCTCTTCTCATCATGTCTCTCAGCTCTCTACTGTTTGGTCACTCGGGGTGGGCTCTCAGGATCTGGCCACATCTGGCGGCAGGGTTGAGCAGCGGCTTTGAGGTGGATGCTGCTTCGGCCTGGCTGGCTGGCGTGGCTGTTTCCAGCAGAGAAGTGCGACAGGGACGGCTTAGTGGTCACTGCTCTGCTTCTCTCTCATCCAGGCTTGAATCTGCTCCTTCAGCTCTGGCACTGAGGGAGAAAAGACGGGGGATTAATGGCCTAGACGAACAGGCTCTGCAGCTTGTAGCTCTGTCTAAGAGGAAAGAGGCCACTCATTCCCTCTGCGAGCTGAAGTCCCTGGCAGAAGCAGCCACAGAGAGGGGGGCATTTACAGAAAAAGCAGGCCGAGTGCGTTCTGGCTTTTCCATAAAGAGCTTCACCTGGGTACTTTCTGCATGCAGTGTCTCTGTTTTTGACGTTGGTGCTGGGGACTGAATTTGGGGGTGTGCACACACTAGGCAAGGGTTCTGTGGGTAGAGATTTAGCCAACTTGCCTCTTTTATTTATTTGAGGCGGTGGCTCAACTAAGTGGTCTAGGCCGGTCTTGAACAGGCTACCCTTCTGCCTCATCCTCCCATTAGCTGGGATTACAGGTCCCAGGGCACGAGCATCAGCACTGCAAGGCAGGCTGAGCCTCCTACCTGGTTCCAGCATGCTCTCAGTCAGCATCTGGCGGTTGAAGGGGTCAGTGGGGGAGTTCAGAAGATGCCGCAGGATGATGGAGCGGTCCATTATGGTGCCCGAGGGCAGTCTCACAGGGTCGGTCATCAGGGTGTCCATCAGAGGGTCTGCAGAGACAAAGTGTAGCACACTAGCCCAATAATGGAAGCTACGACTGAAGAAGCACACTGTCCGACCAGTAAGAGACACAGCCAGAGGGAGAGCTGCGTACAGACCCCCGGGTCCCTGCATCCAGGAGGAGAAAATAGCAAGAATGGACAGCCGGGAAGCAGGCCCCTGGGACAGGACCCTTTGCCTGAAAACCAGACTCCTCCCTTTAGGAAGGTAGAGCCGTCTTTAAAGTCCTCATGGGTATCTGGTGAAATCACACTAAGGATGTTCATCCTTTAGTCTACACTATAATTCAAAATTTGTATACATAATTTTAGACAACTCTCAAAAAACACCTATAGCATGCCACCAAACAATAAAAAAACACAGATAGTGCCCCTGTAGTGGCTTTGATGAGAATGGTCCCCAGAGGCTCGTATATCTGAAGGTTTCATTCCCAGTTAGTAGAACTGTTTGGAAAGGATTAAGAGGGCGTGGCCTTGATGGAGGATGTGTGTCACTGGGAGTGGGATCATGTGCATCATGTCAGCTCTCAGCCCCATGCCTGCCCACCTGCCTGCCACCACGCTTCCTGCCATATTAGTCATAGACTAACCCCCTGAAACTGCAAATAAGCCCCTAATAAAATTCTTTCTCTTATAAGAGTTGCCTTGGGGCCAGGCAGTGGCGGCGAAGGCCTTTAATCCCAGCACTCAGGAGGCAGAGGTAGGCGGATGTCTATGAGTTTGAGGCTAGCCTGGTCTACAGAATGAGTTTCATGACAGCCAAGGCTACACAGAAAAACCCTGTCTCAAAAAACCAAAAGGAAAAAGAGTTGCCTTGGTCATAATGACCTTTCACGGCAGTAGAACAGTGACAAAGACAGCCCTCTCGACGCCACACACTTCCCATTACACCATAGACATGGACATGAGCAATAACTTGCCTCTAAACTCATCCGGCGCGTCGCTGTAGTCAATTTCTGCCCGTGCATTCTTGGCCACTATTTCCTCCACTTTCTCAGCAAGAAGCTTAAACTTCTCTATTGCAATGGTGGATTTGATTCCTGCCTTCCGCATCTTTGAAATGACTTCTTCAAACAGCTCTTTGCTGTAGGATCGCTGCAGATGAGGAAAGGCCGTGAGGTGAGAATATACTTGAATAGAAGAAAATCTTTAGAAAATGTCTAAGTGTACTGGGCGGTGGTGGCGCACGCCTTTAATCCCAGCACTCGGGAGGCAGAAGCAGGCGGATCTCTGTGAGTTCGAGGCCAGCCTGGTCTAGTTCCAGGACAGGCTCCAAAGCTACTGAGAAACCCTGTCTTAAAAAAAAAAAAAAAAATCGGGGGCTGGAGAGATGGCTCAGTGGTTAAGAGCATTGCCTGCTCTTCCAGAGGTCCTGAGTTCAATTCCCGGCAACCACATGGTGGCTCACAACCATCTGTAATGAAGTCTGGTGCCCTCTTCTGGCCTGCAGACATACACACAGACAGAATATTATATACATAATAAATAAATATTTAAAAAAAATCCAAGTGTAATGCATTTGATCTTTTGCTCCTAAAAATTACAACTATAAATTCTATATTCCAGTTTCCCAACAGATTGTGCCATGTGCACAGACAATAATGAATATAGTCACGAATGCAGACAGAGAATGACATGTGCCAACTGACCGCAGTCATCTATGGAAAAGGCTACTGGACCCAGAAAAATGTGAATTTTTATACTATGGGAGCTAGTAAGCATTTATTTTAAAATTAAGCTACTAAAAAGAAAAAGAAACCTAGTTTATTTCAATTTTTGTGGTGCGCTGGACCCTAGAAGCCCATGAAACAAGGTAAATTCCAGCTTTCTCACATAAAGGCGAGCACAGATAAAAATCAAATACACACCACTGCCTGATCACGGCGACACTTAGGGCTTGCTTTGCTCTAGTCATCGTCGATTCTCTAGGCTCGCTCGCTTATGCCTGGCACGGTGGCCATCACATGCATACTCCTTCCTGCCACTCAAGGGGCTGGAATAGGAGGATGGAAGGACGTCTCTAAGGCCAGCCGAGGCTAAATGGTGAGGCCCTATCTCAAAAGATCACAGTAACAAACAACAACCAAACCCCAGAAAAACCAATCACCAAGCACGCAAGAACACACCCATCCCTGAACCCAACGCTATTTAACGTCAGATATTCTACAGCACTGGACCACTCCAAGGCTGTGGGATAATCTTTTGTACACTGAGTATGTATGCTCTCATTGGTTGGTAATAAAGCTGATCTGGCCTATAGCCAGGCGGAGTAAGGCTAGGCAGGACAGCCAAACTGAAGATACAGAGAGGTGATGTGGGAGGTCCTTCTGTGTATGTGCTGCTTCTGTCAGTTGATGAATAAAGCCGCTTCAGCTAATGGACAGGTAAAGCCAAGCTAGAGAGAGAGAGAGAGAAAAGGTGGGGAGCCAGGGAGATGCCATGTAGCCGCCAAAAGAGCAGGTCTGAACATTACCAGCAAATCACAAGCCTCATGGCAAAATACAAGCTATTAGAAATAGGTTAATTTATAGTTAGAGTTAGTCAGTAAGAGGCTTACACCATTGACCAAATAATTATAGTATGTATTAAGCCTCAGAATGGCTAACAGGTGGACAGGACAGAAAAACCTCCATTTACAGAGAGGAATAAGGGCAGAGTGAGAGAGAGACACGAGCTAGCCGCTGGGGAAGAAAGATGCTAGAGGACAGAGAAAGCCGCGAGCCATGTTGCACAACACATGGCCGATTTAGGGTTTTTGCTCATATGGAAAAAAAGGGTTAGAAACATACACTAAGGACACACTGAGACAAAAGCCTTCTGAACGGGTCGCAGTATGTTAAAAAAAAAAAAATCTGTGTAGGTTTGCGAGAGAGAAGAAAAAGGGTAGGGGGCTGGAGAGATGGCTCAGCGGTTAAGAGCATTGCCTGCTCTTCCGAAGGTCCTGAGTTCAATTCCCAGCAACCACATGATGGCTCACAACCATCTGTAATGAGGTCTGGTGCCCTCTTCTGGCTTTCAGACATACACACAGACAGAATATTGTATACTCAATAAATAAATAAAAAAAAAAAAAGAAAAAGGGTAGAAACAGTCACAGGTTAAAAACAACTTAAAATAATAGTAAAGAGCCAGGCAGTAGTGCCGCACACCTTTAATCCCAGCACTCCGGAAGCAGAGGCAGGCGGATCTCAGTTAGAGGCCAGCCTGGTCTACAGAACGAGTTCCATGATTGTTACACAGAGAAACCCCGTCTCAAAACAACATAAAAAACAACAAAACAAAACTTAAAGTCCATTTTAGGGACTAGAGTAATGAATAAATACAATAAGCGGCACAAAGATGGAACACAGAGTCTGGATTGCGTATATTATTGTCTTTTCTTTAGTTATTTTGACTGTTAATAAGCAAGTAACTACTTAGAGAAATTTAATGATAAAAACTGCTGGATTAAACCAACCTATATACTTTAAAATATCCTGACTTCAAAATTTAAGTCAAAAGATATGTTACTTAGGTAAAGAGGTTCTGCTTTTATTTCTATAGGAAATGAGAGCTCTGGCGCTGTGGGACAATGCTCTTGCACACTGTAAAGATTTGTCACTCATATTAGCTTAATAAAATGCGGATTGGCCAGTAGCCAGGCAGGAAGTATAGGTGGGGTGACCAGACTAGGAGAATTCTGGGAAGAGGAAAGGGAGAAGAGTCAGCCACCAGCCAGACGTCCTGTGAATTTCTGAGCAGGATCCACACTGACACCTACATACAGACTCATCTCATAGCTGCGTTCTGCTGCAGTACTGGACCCCTCCCCATCTACCTACCCCTGCCTCCTCAGTGCTACATTTCAAAAACTTCCATTTCTAAATAACTACATAGCTCGCTTGCTCTGCATATCTACCCTACCCTCTCTCACCACACCCCCAATTCCAGCAATGGAGAAGCAGCCAGCTACACAGAGAGACCATGTCTCCAAAAAATAAGAGAAACATCAAAAAGCATTGAGGCAGTGTGTGGTAGCACACACCTGTGACTGCAGTACTCAGGAGGGTGACATTGGAGGATCGTGGGTTCGAGGCCAGCCTGTTTCAAAAATTTTAAGAAGATGGAAGCATATAAGTTCTTCTGTTTTCACTTACTCCTTTGGGTTAGATACAGGGAGACTGTTAGACTGTGTAAGGATGGATAACACTGCATGAATCAGACTGGAATATGTTATGTGTGTGAAGATAGAGACTTGGAACCAACAACGCAGCTTCTTGGCCGTTAGGTAGAAGGGAGAAGAATCTGGGTACAGGCTAGACCGCTGCCACAGATCTGTCCTCTACACCACACTATGTGCTCCTCTGTGCCCCACTTTCCTTATTTTAAAACAAAGAATTTAGTAGAAACTGAGTCACTGAATTCTATGATTACTAAATGAATGTAAACATGAGAGGTGGTCAGAAGTGGTACACAGTTAATAGGAGCCACTACTATGCTGAAGATGTCCCAAATGTCATGGTCATCTGTGTGCATGATGGCACACATCCAAGTACCTGAGGGGCAGAGTTTGAGATCAGGAGTTCAAGGCCAGCCTAGCCAAGAGGAGACCTTATCTCAAAAGACCTGGGAAAAAGTAGAAGCAGGACCAGAGACCAAGGAAGGAAGGAACCCTTGGTTTTCCTTTTTAAGAGCTCTGTAGCAGGACTGAGGACTGAGCCCCGGACTTTGCACATCCAGGTGCTGTATCACTGAACTACATTCCCAGCTCAGGGTTATTTTCAGAATGATCTCAGTAAGTCCAGGTTAGCCCTGAACTTGTGACGTCCTACTTCTAGCCTCCTGGGTATCTGGAATACAGGACTGTGCTACCAGGGGAGCCCCTTTTGTTTCGACGTGACATCACAGAGGGAAGGTGTGGAGAACAGTCTGTCCTGTACCAGTGGCTGACATGAAGGACAGGGAGTGATGTGAACAGCAGGAGGCATGGCAGCTCTCAGCAGAGGACCTGGGAAGACCTGCATTTCCTGAGAAATATCAAAAGCCCCACTTTTTCCTGTATTTGAAGTGGGGAAAACTCAAGGAGAGAGAGATAGAGATAGAGAGAGAGAGAGAAGTGCACAGGTTCTGCCAAGAAGGCGCAGTCAGAAGATTCAAAAGTGCACAGCCCAGTGATGGGTATCAGGCCTCCTGGGAAAGGCCCGCTTCTCACTCACCTGGTCATCAGCAATGGCTTTAGCAAAGCGAGCACAGTCCAGCTGCAAGTAAATATCCGTCAGTTGGTCCAACAGCTTCTTTGGCTCAAAACCGTACTTCTCCGGGTTTTCAACTTTCAGGTCCCGGCACTTGGGGCCACACAGCTGCTGGAGGTTAAAGTTCAGCATGGCTGCTAATCGGGGTCCAAGTTCCTAGGAAATGAGAGGATAACAAGACAGGTCAAGCTGCTGAGAATGTCGGGGACCAGAAACTCCCACTCAAGTGGAGCCACAGGAACTGGCTAGTTTAAGCTCCAGAGAACCCTGAAATGTGCCGTGCAAATGCTAGCTAGAGAAAGCTGATCTAAAACCATATAGTCCAGTGTGGAGCAGTCAGGGACAGGGAAGCGGGCACAGCTATAGTCCAGTGTGGAGCAGTCGGGGACAGGGAAGCGGGCACAGCTATAGTCCAGTGTGGAGCAGCCGGGAACAGAGAAGCGGGTAGAGCTGCTGGGTTTCTTGGCTATAAGAAGTGCTTAAGCCAGCCAGTAAAGAAGGTAGAGATGAAGGCTGAAGAGATGGCTCAGCTGTTAAGCACACTGGCTTCTCTTCCAGAGGACACAAGTTCGGTTCCCAGTGCTCACAACAGGGAGCCCATGACTGCTGGGTAACTCCAGCTCCAGGGGCTCTGACACCGTCTTCTGACTCCAGAGGCACTGGCAAACATGTGGCAACATTGACCCCAGCACCCACTTGTAAATACAATAAATCTTAAAAAAAAAAAAAAAAAAAGTAGAGCTAATACTAGTCTACCTGTGGCCAATTCCAGTCAGATTCTTCTTTTGTTAAAGTTTTATTTGAATATGGTCATTATTTTGTAAATAAAGCTTTATTAGAAAACAACCCGGCTTGTTTATGTCCACGCGATTAGCATGAGCACAGCTGACAAGTTGCCCAAGACATGCAGTCTACGCATCTTCAAAGGGCTTTGTAGAGAATGTTAGTAAATCCCTCCCGCACATCCTTGAGGGAAGCAGGCCCTGGACGGGGGGCTCTTTTCTCCCTGCTGCTGAGCTGAGATCTGCTTATCAAGAGACAGGAAAGGACCCAGTCTCAGGCTGCAGACAGGCCACTGGGTGACAGGGCCTCTGCTGGAGGCAACATGAATCATGTGATGAGCAAGGAGGAAATACAGAGAACTGGAGGGACACACGGCAGAGCTCACACGACAACTGGAGGGGACACACAGAGCTATCTGTTGACAGGCCTCGGCTCCCTTTGATGGCTCCTCTCCTTGGACCGCCACACCACAAAGCATCACAGCTTCTTACCGGGGTGGTCAAAACAAGCAGGTCTCTTAGAGTATACTGCTCAGATTCAACCTCAGAAATATGAGCCTGTGGTTACTGAGATGCCTTTAACCAACCACAAGCCTCAATCAATTTTCAGTGGCCTCAATGTTACAAAGTTACTCAGTTCCCACTGGCCTTCAGCGGCCTTGATGTTACAAAGTTACTTAAAAAGCATCCAAGACATCTATCAATCATTTTACTTAATGTCCTCCAAATCTGTATCTGTTATACTTTTATGATACAAAAAAAAAACAGAAATCAGTAACAATAAAATTGTGTTATAAACCCATAATCCAGACGTGTTGTGTATATAGAAAAGGCAAGCCACCTAGAAGCGAGCATTTGAGTACATGTTAAGGGGTCTCATTTTAGACGGGTACAATAGTACGTAATGTGTTATCAACTGATAGAACAAAATTAGAAAGAATTTCATCACTGATTGCTGTGGTTAAAATTAACAATTGTGCTGAGTTCTAAGTGTTGCATGTGTCACCCCAAAGATAACACAAGCACCCCAGTTTCTACTCACTGGTCTGAGGAACGGCTTCTGGACTTGCTTAGTGAGGAGATGGAACATGTCCACGGTTTCAGTCGCCAGCGCGAGATAAGATCGTGAAACGCGCTCATCCTGAGAAAGCTGAGATTGCCGGGCCTGCTGCTGATCCTAGGAAACACCAAATGGATGCCAAAGAAATTTCAGTACCAGCCACCTGCTCATAAAAAATGTCAAGTGCAAAGGAAAAACATGGCTGGCTTACAATCTAGATTGTAATAAAGCCACAGTACTCTGGGAAGGAGGAAATGACCACACCACCAGCACACTGTCCAGACAGCCTTCTAGACATATTGAATGGTGGGTGGTGTTGGATTATAACCCAGGACCTGGCACATGCTAAGCACAGGCTCTACCACTGGCCTACACCCCCAGCCCTGGCCTGTTACTGACTGTGGGATTTCCCTCTGTATGCTGTGAATATCACTGGTGAATAAAGAAACTGCCTTGGCCTGTTGATAGGGCAGAAGTTAGGTAGACGGGGAAAACTAAACTGCATGCTGGGAGAAAGGAGTGAGGAGAAGCCATGTAGCCCCTGCCAGAGAAAGATGCCAGGCAGAACTTTACCCAGTAAGCCACAGCCATGTGGCAATGCACAGAATAGAGATGGGTTAGTTCAGGATATGAGGTAGCCAGAAATACGCTTAAGCTATTGGCCAAACAGTATTGCAAATAATATGGTTTCTGTGTGATTATTTCAGGGCCAAGCAGCCAGGAAACAAATAAGCGACCTCCTTACTATAACTGACCTCATGAGAACGGCCACACTGAGTTCCAGGAAGGATGACTCAGACTATGGGAGTACCTGATACACACACACACTGGAGCTACAGACTTTTACTTAGTCATCAACATTAAAAATATTGAGATTAGGGTTGGAGAGGTGGCTCAGTGGCTAAGAGCACTGGTTGCTCTTGCAGAGGACCCTGGTTTAATTGCCAGCACTCACATGGTGGCTCACAACCACCGTAACTCTAGTTCCAAGGGATGAGGCCTCCTGGACTCCACAGGTACAAGAATGCATTTGGTGTAAGCTTGCACATGCAGGCAAACATGCAGGCAAACATACACCTAAGTGCCTGCAGATGGCCACTGTGTGAACTGCGAGACCCGGCACCATCAGGCTGCCGTTCTGTACAGCTCCAGCATGCTTACCTACAGCACCATCCTTTGCCTCCATCCTGCCACAGACCAGGAAATAAGGTAATAAATAGACTTTGATTCATGGGGGAAATCAGTAGAGCAATGAAAGCTTTGCAGCCAGCTCATCAGCTAAGACTTACTCATTTTTTGAGATAGGGTCCCATGCAACACAGGCTGGCCACCAAAAAGCTACACAGCTAAGGAAGACCTGGAAGTTCTCATCCTACAAGATCACATGTGCACGCCACGACACTCAGCTTAACAGATCTGTGTGTGCATGTTCACATGTATAGGTAATGCAAAGTTAAGGCCAGAGAATAACCTTATGTCTTACTCCTGGACTATTCCCAACACTTTTTTCCCCCCCTTTTTCCTTTTTAAACAGTTTCTTTCACTGGCTTGGAACTTGCCAAGTAGGCAAGGCTAACTTGCCCCAAGGACCTCGCTGTATCCACCTCCTAAGCAGTAGAATTACAATTGTGTGCTACCACACAGCTTCCAGGGGAGGGTCAGGGCAAACATCTGGAATAACTGATATAGGCCAGTGAGCACCCTTGGACCTGGTGCTACAGTCCGTGCCTGGCAGAGACTCTGCAGTAAGAGTGGGAAGCTGCCCATGGTCTAGAATGAGCCCATTGAGAAAAGGCTGCATCAGGAAAGACACAGGGAGAGCAAGGCCTCAGTGTCCTCAGCGTCAGTCTGAGTGCCAGCTCCTCCATTTGTAAACACTGTGGGCTCTGACGTAGGCTGGAGCAAGACAGACAAGGAAAATTAGGGGAACACTTATTTACAACTAGCTAGAAGCCTGCAACTTTACTACAACTGATCACACAAAATCACCTATGGAGACGAGTACTGAAACAAAGACGATATAACAACAAACCTTTTGTGCTTAGGGCCAGAATGTGTGTGGCCTTGAGTATAACTGTGTTAGCCCTTCTTTTTCATCCCTAAATTTAAGCAGCAGACCTCACAAAACCACCTCACAGTTACATTTATAAAGGGTAATTCTTCTAAGATGAGAGAAATAGAAAACCAGTTCATCCTCCCACCCATCAATAAATGCGCATTTTACTGATTTTTTTTAATGTGAGCATATTATGCCTAGATGAATGTCAGTGTACTGTGTACCCATGGAGGTCAGAAGAGGGTGCTGGACATCCCCTGGACCTGGAGTTACAGACAGTTGTAAGGTGGCATGTGGATGCTGGGAGACAAGCTTGAGCCAACTCTCCAGCTCTTGGTTCATATGTTTTTATTTAAATTTAAAAAATAAACTTTGTGTTTTGCAAGTTACAGCACTGTAACATGTGCTACAGAAACACACAATCTCCATTTTACAAACATCTAAGGTCAAAGGCTAGGCTCACAATCAAAAGTATAAAAATAAGCTGGCTGGAGCCTGGTGGTGGTGGTGGTGGTGGCGGCAGCGCACGCCTTTAATCCCAGGATGCAGGAGGCAGAGGCAGGCGGATCTCTGAGTTTGAGGCCAGCCTGGTCTACAGAGTGACTTCCTGGATATCCAGGGCTACACAGAGAGACCCTGTCTTGAAAAACCAACCAACCAATCAAACAAACAAAAAAAACCGAGCTGGGTGGCAATAGGGCACACCTTTAATTCCAGCACTCAGGAGGCAGAGGCAGGATCTCTAAATTCAAGAGTAGCCTGGTATACACGGTGAGTTCCAGGACAGCCAGGGCTACACAGAGAAACCCAGCCTCAAAACAAAACAAAAAAACAAAAACAGAAACTCCTAACACACCCTTCAACCAGACACCCAGAAAGGCTGACAGTGATGGTGAAGGATTAGGGAGGTTTTGGGGAGAGAAGAGTGGTATTGGGGTCACAACAGTCTGGATGCACAGCACTGCAGGAAGAGGGGACAGCAAGTGCAGAGAAGCCAGTGTAGGAGTGGGGCGAATTCAGAGGGGGTATCCCTATGCTATGTGCACCAGAAAGGGTGAAGGCTGGGAGCCCAAGACTGTACTGCAAGTACCAAGGCCAAAGAGAATAGTGACTAAGACAGCAGAAAGGCCACATACACCCTTACTGACCTTCCTGCCTCGGCAGCCGGAGTACTGCCAACGGCAGGTATACAACCACATCCAGTTTAACCCAAAGCTCCATGCATGTAGGGCAAGCACTCTACCAGTGAGAGCTTTAGCTCCCGGAGATAAAAGAGCCTCCAGATGGGGGAGGGAGCAGAGGAGAAACAAGGTGACCCAGCATTCAGTAGAATGAAGCTGCCATTTGTTACGGTTGTTGACTGGAACTCAGAGAGGAGATTTAAAGGACAACATGGACAAGCCAGGATTGAGGGAGTCATGCACAGCCGAATGGCAGAGCAAGCCAGCACTGCTCAGAGGTCTGTGGGCAGAAGTGCTCTCGGCAGTGGAGCTGCACTTGCAGTCTTTAAAATAGCACTGGAAAAGATGAGATCACCTGGCAGGGACTTCAAGCAGAGTCATCAGAGAATGTGCAGGTGTATCTGGCTGTGTGAGGAGTGGGGGGTTAGTGTGTTGGGAGGGGTGGGGTATAATGATGAGAGACAGGATAACACGGGCAGACACATCACTGCTGTGAAATGAACAGTGTCAGGCACAGTTGCTTATTATAGAGTTTGCTACGACATCAGATATCAAAGCTTCAATATTCTTCAGCATCCTGCCAGTACCCCACTGAGAAACGCTACCCAGGGGAGGGGTGGGGAACACTTAGAAGAAGCAGTGGACTGAGCCCTAAATCTACCATTGCTCAGAGGCTGGGGGATGAGGAAGTAGAAGGCAGGCAGCAACCTTGGATCAAAGCTCAAGGAAAAGTTGTTCGTAAAAAAACACCTTCGAGACATTTGTGCCTTTAAAACCCCATTAAGAGAAGAATCAGTAGTATTTGTTGTCTCAAATAAATGCACTGACTAGGATAAAGAGAGTGTGCTTCAGGCCCAGAAACCAACCTCTAAGAGGTCTCCACTAGGCAGCACGGGAGGGTTTACAAGTACTGACGAGGAAGTCAAGCGAGGTGGGGCCATGCAGGACACTGACTATGTACAGCCAACCATTCGGCTGGGTTTGGACAGAATGGGGAGTATTCTCACACATTAAGAACAGGACATCTGATGCTTGGGAAGACCAATGAAACACTAGAACACTGCACACTGAAGGCTAGGTCTGTCCTGGGCTACTGCTTACAATGTCCCTGTAGGTCACAGACCCAGCCCACCTCGAATGGAAGAGCTGAGGCTCTTTTGATTTGCCTTATCTGGTTTCTCAGCATGGTTTCAACAGTCTGGAGCCTGATTAGAAGTTAGGGCACACTGGGAAGGTACAGGGCAGCAGGGCCGCGTAGATTCTACCCTAAGAGAGATGGGAGCAAACAGACGAGGAGTGTCTAGAAATGAGCCGGAGCAACAGGCAGAAGACACGCAGTGGGGCAAACGTGAGCCGGAGCAACAGGCAGAAGACACGCAGTGGGGCAAACGTGAGCCAGTGGAAATGCTGCACTAACTCAACAGTGTCAGAGGCAAGGGCTGTGGGGGACAGGGAAACGGAGCTAGGCAGTCGTGGACACCCAGGTAGAACAAGATGTGAAATTCTCATCAAAGCTGCAGGAATACTTGTAATGAAAAGCTTCCCTAAACTGGGGTATGGTAGTACATACCTTTAATGTTAACTATCAGAGGGCAGAGGCAAGGGGATTTCTGTGAGCTCCAGGCCAACCAGGAACCAGGGTCACCTTGGGAGCGGGGGGGGGGGTCCCCTTAAATGCCCTTCAGTGTCCTACAGTAAAGACACTTATGACAGGATGTCAGCATTGTCACTGTGAGCTCAGGCTGCCACAGGTCTCTCAAAGGGCAGACCCTAGGGGAAGCGACTCTGACTCTGAGCCAACTCATTAATGATATTCCTAGGAGCTGTCAGGGTCTGCTAGGTGTCAGAAGAGGGCAGTGGACGTTTACTGGCACAGCATGAATTTATCATGGAACCTGGCAACTAGGCCTTTTTCTAATAGTAACGGAATGGGAAAACCAAGAAAAAGCTCCAACAGAATCCTAGGAGATTCTCAGCCATCTACAGAAGGCCATGTGAACAAACCCAGCAGAGAGAAGCCTGGAGATTTATTTCTTGGCTACCACACAAGTCAAAACACACACAAATAAACATTTCTCTAAACAGTCCTTTAACTAAAAGGCAGGGGAAGTGTCCACAAAGCATTGGGAAAGGCTTCTCATTTCTCATATTTTGGATTTAAGATTTTATATTAAAAATATGTTGGTGGCTGGTATAGAAGGTCCTTCTGTTTGTGTGTTGCTTTCATTGGTTAATTTATAAAGAAAATGCTTGGCTTGATGGGGCAGAACTTAGGTAGGTGAAGAAGACAGAACTGAATTCTGTGAGGAAAAAAGCAGAGTGTGAGAGAGAGAGAGAGCTGCCATGGAGCCACCAGGTCAGACATGCTGAATCTTTCCCGGTAAGCCACGACCTCATAGCGATACACAGATGATTAGAAATGAGTTAAATCAAGATGTGAGAGTTAGCCAAAAAAAAAAGGGCTAGAGCTAATGGGCCAGGCAGTGTTTAAACGAATACAGTTTCTGTGTGATTATTTCAGGTGTAAGCTAGCCAGGCGGGCGGGACAAACAAAGGGACCTGCTCTCCCTGTAACAGGAGGCTTTAGAATCCAGAACATCCCCGCAGGACAAGCCTGTGTCCTACTTATGAGCTTTACCTTCACCCTCTGAAATTATATACTGACACATACATAAATTTTTGTTTATACAAATATGTGTGTGTCTTGAATTTATGTGCATTACATGTGTGCAGAAGGCATGAGCCATCAGAAATGACTTAAAGGCAGCGGTGAACTGCCAGATGAGGATGCTGGGAACTGAACTTGGTCTTCGGGAAGAGGAGTAAGTGCTCTTAACCGATGAGCCACCTCTCTAGTTCTCCACACAAGACTGTTTTTGAAAATGAGAATCTGGCTTTGAGGGGAGGCCTGACAGCCAGTCTGAGGATAGTAAGGAACATTCTTGCCTGAAACTCAAGCACAGAATGAACTTTTTCTCCCCAGGCGTTAGGGGCAGAACTAAGGATCAAATTCAGGACTTAAGCAAGTTAGGCAAGCCCTTGACCACTGAGCCACACCCTCCACTCCAGTCTTAGCTTCTGAAGAAAACCTTCAGGAAGCTGTCTCCTAGCTCAAACCTGAAATGGCACTTCGTGGAAGCCTACAGGTAGGAAAGTCCTAGCAACTGAGATCTGGTGTCTCCGGCCGCCCTACCCGGGGCAGCTGGTCCCACTGCTCCTTGTTCTTCATCTCCTCTTGCACTTCATGGATCCGCTTCAGCGACTCCAGACTCTCGTCCAGCAGAAAGGTCGTGTCGTTTATCAGCATATTGATGTAGCGGACGAACTGCTTTCCAGAACTGAAAAGGCAGTGAGACAGCGTGGTTACACATGTGGCCGGTCACTGAGAACATGAGCCTCTGCCAAGCACCAACCGGATCACCTGGGAAACTGCAGGCCCTGCAGATACATGCGCATCAACTTTCCTTAGACTTTGCTATTGTCTCTCTTGTTACTGTTTTGTCTTGCTTTGTTTTAAGGGTCTGCACAGCCACAGGCTGATCTCAAACAACTTTCCTGCCTCAGCATGACAGAGGTAGGACAACAGTCTGAGCCACCAAACTCCAGCCCTACTAGTCTTCCTAATTCACTGTGATAAGTTCTTTCGAGCAGCATGCTGGACCAGCCCTGTATGGCTGGTATGAACCAACTGCTAAATATTCCAGAATGTTTTCTGCTGATTTCCTTGGCAGTTTATATCTGGCAACAATGTATACAGTTATACCACAGAAAAGCAGCAAATGCTGGAATTCCTCCTGCTCACAGCATAGCGCCAACACACTGCTCAGTGTTTGTAAGTAGAGGACACACTCTCTCAGGCTGGGAAGGGAATGAGCTTGACTCAGTGTGACAAAGCCAGCACAGACTCACCCAAGAAATTACTTACGGAGAGCGATTCCTTATCGCAGAGAAGATGGACAGACAAAAATAAGTCCTGTCACATTGGTAACGGAAGATAGGGACTTCACTGCATAGAAGCCAAAGCTGCAGGTCTAGGGAGACACTGCTGACTACACCGTGGTGAACAGCCTGACCTCCCTGCTAAGTTCTGAAACTAACAAATTTGTGGCAAAAGAGAAGACCCACACAGGACCCACCAAGTGTACTTATGGGTAGAAAGCCCATGCCGGGGAAGAGGGAACTTTGTGAACAAGGACAGGTGGGTGGCCTTAGTCTCAGGAATGTGGGGACACTAGGACATTCATTTCCAAAGAGCACCATCGAGCGCAAGCTGGGGACTACCTGGAACCTAACAGATCAGAAGAGCAGCTTAACTTAGTTTACCTGGGAGAAGCTACCGTGCAGGCGGGGAAGCGGCTGCGGTGTCAACTAGTAGCTCAGTTAACACAAGATAGACAGAGTTGATCAAGATCTGACACGCAACGGACAAAACTTCCTTTGAAGAATAACACAGGTTTGATGTTTGTACTCGCCTTTCTTCCTTCAGAGGAATTACTATGGGCCAGGCTTAAGCAACGCTCTGCAGTTTTAAGCTGGCATATGAATAGTTATTAACATGGCTTGGCACCTATGCACACCAAGTGAACCTAAGTGCTTCTAAATCTTGTTTTCTCAACATTTCTGGGTCAATCTGACAGCTTCATTTAACAGCATATAATAAAGGAAACACAAGAACCACTTTCACATGTGCAATATGCATATCCCAGAACATTCCCTCATGTAAGCCACTCCAAGGGTTGACAACTTTGAGGAAGCAGACAATTAGAATAGGGGCCACATTGGGCGGTTCCCGTGGCAGGAGGCTGAAGCCAGGCAGTCACAGAACCTGCTGCAAAAGCTTTCAGTGGCTCCCACCTGAGCTCTCCCACCAGCGAGCAAGCTGTGCGCGCCATCAGGGCCCAATACTCACTTGAACTCCTCCATGAAGGTGCCATGGTGAGCTATGTTTTGCCAAAGGCTCTTAAAAATAGTGCTAATGTGATAGCGAATGGTGAACTTGTCATAGAACTCGCTGGTGGCTCCGGTATGCTCGACATCTACGGAGGAAAGACATTTGTCTCTTATGACCTTCCAGATGCAGTTACCACAGCGGCATAGGAGAAACCATGACTCCACTCCCCCAACTCTTCTTTCAATTAATTAATTAATTAATTAATTAATTAATTATTTTTGGCTTTTCAAGAAAGGATTAATCTGTGCAGCCCTGGCTATCCTGGAACTCGCTCTGTAGACCAGGCAGGCCTTGAACTCAAGAGATCCTCCTGTCTCTGCCTCCTGAGTGCTGGGATCAAAGGCATGTACTGCCACCACTTGGCTTCTTTCTTTTAAAAGACTGGGTGCCACTATATAGCCCTGGACATCCTGGAAGCCAGAGAGTCACTTCCCTCTGCCTCCCAGAGTGCTGGGATTAAAGTGTACCTCTCCCCCATAACCTGACTTTAAAGATCAAGGTTTCATGACATCAGTCTGCAATGGACGCAACAGCTACACGAATGTGAGAAAGACAACATCAAGCTCGACGACAATAAAAATTCATTTATCACATCTCCATCCCACTTTATGTGCTAGTTTAAATTAAGGAAATTCCAGAGCAGTTCATACATGTATCTCTGAGGAGAAAAAATAGGCTAAATTTCCTATGTACCTATTACATATCTATTATTTTAAACACTTCTGTGTCAGACACATTTTTCCAAGCACATCCCCAAGTAGAGAAATGCACGGTGACTGCCCCCACACTCATGGCTCATGCCATCTGCACCCCTGTGATATAAGCCAGGTGAGAACCAAACCCTGATATGCAAATATGCATACACATGAAGTTCCAAATTCATTGTGAATTTCAAAAAGGAGAAAAACTGTCAGGTAAAGACAGTTATGGGCCAGCAGTGGTGGCGCACACATTTAATCCCAGCACTCGGGAGGCAGAGGCAGGCGGATCTCTGTTGCAGGATTTTGGTCACACTGTGACACCCTGAGACTGTGTTAACATAAACCTTGAATTGGGGACAAAGTCAACAACTAGCTAACTGGAATAAGCCTTAGAAAGTCAGGAATACAAATAGAGAAGGCGCACAGGAAGGAATACGGAGGGACTTAGATTTTGTGGCTCTGCAACTGGGAAAGTGTGGAGAGGTCAGCTGGTTGCTCCTTCACCTTTAGATTCTCTGACCTCTCAGGTTCACACCTGGCACTTGATTCCTGAGTCTTTATTGGTAACAGAACAACTTAAATAAGTATTACAAACCAAGTGGTGGTGGCGCACGCCTTTAATCCTAGCACCAAGGCCAGCCTGGTCTACAAGAGCTAGTTCTAGGACAGGTTACTGAGAGACCCCGTCTCTGAAAATCAAAACAACAACAACAAAACAAAAACAACAAAGCTGTATGAGTTTGAGACCAACCTGGTCTATAGAGTGAGTTCTAAGACAGCCAGGATTGTTATACAGAGAAACACTGTCTCAAAAAACAAAAAGTAATATTAAGACTGAAAAGACCAAGGCCAGCTGGCCTGGGTCTGAAAAGGCCTGGGTTAAAACCGGCCTCACTGAACATAGCGGACAATGAGGACTACTGAGACCTCAAGAACAATGGCAATTGGTTTTTGATCCTACTGCACATACTGGCTTTGTGGGAGCCTAGGCAGTTTGGATGCTCACCTTACTAGACCTGGATGGAGGTGTGTGGTCCTTTGATTTCCCACAGGGCAGTGAACCCTGATTGCTCTTTGGGCTGACGAGGGAGGGGGACTTGACTGGGGGAGGGGGAGGGAAAGGGGAGGCGGCGGTGGGGAAGAGACAGAAATCTTTAATAAATTAAAAAAAAAGGAAAGAAAAAAAGACTGAAAAGAGGCGAGGATTTGAGAAAACAGGCACAATGTACATGGGGTTGGGGGGAGGGGAGATGACAAACAGTGACATAATCTCTCTTAAGACAATCTGGTAGCAGGCGTGGTGGCACATACCTGTAATCTCTGCACTGAGAGTCTGGGTACACGGGACTGTCTCAAATGTAGCAACCCCCAACCTCAACAATTTCACAAACTGTAGCCTAACAATCAGCATGCATTCCACTGGCCTACCGACTCTACTTCAGAAAACGCTCACAGGTTTGTACAGAGACCAATTTCCAAGCATGGCCATCAAAATACTGCATCTGTTTTTATTTTTTATTTTATTTTATTTTATTTTCGTTTTTTCGAGACAAGGTTTCTCTGTGTCGCTCTGGAACCTGTCACGGAACTAACTAGCTCTTAGAGCAGGCTGGCCTTGAACTCACAGAGATCCACCTGCCTCTGCTTCCCAAGTGCTGGGATTAAAGGCTTTAGCCACCACTGCCCAGCCTTGTTTTTATTTTAACAATACTGGGGATTGAACCCAGGGCCTTGAGATGCTAGGCAATTGTTCTACCACTGGACAGAAATATTGTTTTGGGCTGGGGGGGGGAGAATAATCCAAATGTTTAAGAGACAACATTACACACCACACTGGCTGAAAGCCAGAGATTACACAGTTTAGGAAGAATGACAGCTTTTTAAAGTGACCAAGAGACAGCAAGATGGTTCAGTAAGAAATGCTTGCCACCAGGCCTCAAGACCGAGCTCAATCCTCGGGATCCACATGCTGGAGGAACAGAAATGAACCTGCAGTTTGTTCTCTGACCGCTATTCATGCAACACACACATACCAAAAATAAAAATTGTAACATATTTGTAGTAAAATATTACACAGACTCTGAGCACAAAGATGATGTGGGACTTCTAAATTCTGCTTGGTACAGTCTTCTGTAGTGCTGTGGGTCGAACCCAGGGCCTGGTACGTATCACACTATCATTTTAAACACTAACCCCCGCCTTTCTTCCTATTTTCTGTATTTTCCAAAGTCTACATTTTGGGGGGTGAAACCAGTTATTTAATAATAAGGGAAAAAGCATTCCTCCCATTCTAAGATCTGAAAGTATTTATGTATACTCACTAAGCTGGCTCTTCTCTGGAAGAACCAAGTGCCATTTTATTATGCAAAAGTGTGAATGAAGGTGTCAGCAGTGACTCAAGCAAAGCTTGCAAGGGACAGAAAACCAGTGGCCCACGTACCTCCATTATCACTTAGAGCCGCCCATTCTGGGCTGCATCGCAGACACACCAAGCTAAGTCACTAGTGTTAGCTCACTGCCCACCAGCACCACCTCTCCCAACATTTCTGTTTTTTTATTTGTTCCTAAAGTTTCCTCAAAATCACCCCCACCTAGGTTCTAATTTCCAAGTTTTAGCTCTAGACTTGACCTTTGCTAAACTCACAAGCCCCGTCCTCTCTCAGCAAGGTTTCTTTTTTCTTCAAGACAGAGTCTCACTATGTAGCCCTGGCTGTCCTGGAACTCTCTATAGATTAGGATGGCCTTGAACTCACACAGAGACCCATCTGCCTCTGCCTTCCGAGTCTGGGATTAAAAGCATGCTTCACCATGCCCAGCTTGTACAAGGCTTCCTGCTACCTTCTTTCCAGATTCATTTTACTGCTTTCTCTTTCTGCCACTCTGCGGCTGAGTTCTACTGATGCTCACGTCTGTAACACTCTGCGGCCGAGTTCTACTGATGCTCACGTCTGTAACACTCTGCGGCTGAGACCTACTGATGCTCACGTCTGTTACACTCTGCGGCCGAGATCTGCTGATGCTCACGACTGTAACACTCTGCGGCCCAGTTCTACTGATGCTCACGTCTGTAACACTCTGCGGCCAAGATCTGCTGATGCTCACGTCTGTAACACTCTGCGGCTGAGTTCTACTGATGCTCACGTCTGTAACACTCTGCGGCCGAGTTCTACTGATGCTCACGTCTGTAACACTCTGCGGCCGAGTTCTACTGATGCTCACGCATCTATCGCTCTGCGGCTGAGATTTATCATGTTTGTCCCACTCCGCAAGTGCGATCTACTGAAGCTCACTTCCTCAGACCTTCCCCAGTCAGTACCCCATTTTCTTTCTCCCACACCTACTGTCTCCAGGTCCTCTAAATCTCCCACGTTTGCCTCCCACAGTAGTTCCAACACAAGTATTTGCTGAATTAGTGACAGACTCTGCCCTGGCTGCTGCTTTGTACAGCCAGTCAGCTCTGGGGAAGAAGAAGCCTGGAAAGACGACTAGCTCCATCCACAGACTTCCTGTCCTCAGAATTCTTTCTAAGGAAGGCTGTTAGGATACACAAAAAAACTCTTATTTTGATGTCTAATTTTCATTTTAAACAAGATTGTGTGTAAGTACTTGCTAAGTGCAGTACGCTATAGCCTGAGAGGTGCTGGCTCCAGCAATCTATCTACAACTCTGCGGCCCATCTTAGGGCGGCCCGCTCAGAAGCAGGATCTAACGCGGAGCTCCTGATGCGGTGCGGCATAGATGTGGGGAGTATCTGGGAGGCATCCTGCAGGCTCACAGCTCTTGTAAGCAGTCAGGCACACTTGTGCTAGAACCCAGCTGCTGGGCACCTGCCACTCACTAGCTAGTGACCTTCAGCAAGTTTCTTGACCTTTCTAAGCTCAAGTTTCCTCATTTGTTAAGTGGAGGTATTTATAGTGTCCATCTCTGCGACAGTTATGCGGCTCAAGTGGACAGCGACCATGAGTGGCAACTATTTTTAGGAAAGGTATCATCTATCCATGACCATGGAAGAGGCTTAGGCCGGAGGGCACACTGCTCCAGGATAAAGAAAAGGAGCAAATAATACCGACCCACATGCTGCTCAAGTGTGCTCGTTCTTGCTCTTTCTCTCTTTCACTCACTCACACACTTACACACACACACACAAAATTATCAGGAAGCTACAATAATGTGCCCAGACCACCAACTGAATACTAATTATATTTAACAAAATTTATCATAAAATATTAACACATCATCTCCTATGGAATGTGGCTATTACTTGGCATTTTCTACACTTTTTCTTTTTGAGACGGGATCTCACTATGTATCCCTGACTGGCCTGGAACTCCACTGTAGACCAGGCTGGCCTCCAACCTGCAGTGTGTAACCTGTCCTGAATACACACCTAAATACCACTTGCACCTAAGTATCCTGAGCTAATAATCCTGACCATGGCTATGAGATCAAAAGATTTACACCCCAAAAGGGGCCTTTTATCCATCAGTACACTGGACTATCTCCAAAGGAAGGATGCTAACAAAATATCCAAGACAATGTGTGCTTACTTTAGACTCCTGAGAATCTGAGTAGGCTGAGAGGAAACCTCATCAGATAGAACAAAGTAAGAGTGAGGAAGGGAAAAGCAGGCAGACGGGTTCCCAATAGCTACTGTCCCTGAGCTCTGGGCATCCTCAAACAGGTGGCCCCTGTCAACAGCAAGGGCATATGTCGTAAGCCACTGTATTTTCCGTACAACACGGTGGGGTCTACTAAATGCCAGACACTTACAGAGTGGCCAAATTTACCAGGACATGAGAAGACAGGACACATACAACATCCTGAGAAACTGTCTGAGTAGCACAGTCTTGGGCCTTTAGTAGGAGACAGTCTAAAGTTTAAAGGCTAAACTTTAAAGAGATTCAGAAGGCGGAACACAGTTTGACCAGAAGAGGAGGTTCTCTTTGAAGCACAGTTTCCAGGCTTTGTCACTTCCAAGTGTAACAGGGCACAGAGCACAGCACCCACAAGTATCAGGGGCTCACTAAGTGTGAGGAACGAATACACGAGGGAAGGCAGTCAGGGGTCCAAGCATCCAATAGACTTTTTGCTGTGTTGTTCTGAGTAGCTCAAGCTAGCATCAAACTTGCTATCAAGGATGACCTCGAACATTTAAAACAAACTTCCTATTTTACCTACACTTTGAAATCTCAATTTCAGGATGGTGTTACATATCAAATGCTGCAAATTTAAAGGCAAATGAACCAGGTAGTTTTACTCAGATGAAAACACCATCTTGGGCTACAAATGACAAATGGAGTCTGCTAAACCAGTAGAAGCCAGCACACGCAGCAGCCAGTGTCATCTCTCAGATGCCTGGGAGAAGACAGAAGAGCCCACGCCCTGGGCTGGGGCAGGTAAGTGACTGCATAAGCGGATGTCGGGGCCTAGAAAGCAGGATTATTTACTTTTCTATTTATGGATTATAGGTCGCAGGTTTAGGTTTACGTTCACTCAAACAACCTTGTCTGTCATATAACCACATGCCAGAAGGCACACTCTGGAACCTACCTGTATAAAATTTCATGAGGGAAGGTACCAGCAATTTGGTAGAGAGAGGATGGTTTTCAATCATCTCAAAAAACTTCTGAGTTCGAGGCTGGACAGAGGGGTTGGTCATAAACATGACCTCCACCAGTTTGGCCACTAGGTATGGGTTGCGGATGTAGTTCTGGTTGCACAGCATGACGACGAGGAACATCACAATGTCCTGAGTACAGGGCTCATACAGCACCTGGGGCGAGTATCTATGGAGAGACAAGGACACTCCATGAGCCTCCGGGAACCATGGGAGAGTTTGCTAGTAGGAAAGGGAAGGAGCGTGACAGGGCACAGTGGAGGAGGACAGGTACTGGGTCCCTTGGGATGGCTCAAGTGATTTGCTCGCTGGATGTAAAGCCTAATGTGTGTGCTGCCTGCAGCATGCTATGCTCACTGTACTTTAAAAAGGAAGCTAAAGCACGCAGGGCTGAACTTCACAAAAAGACCTTCACGCCAGGCAGCAGTGGTGCAGCACTTAATCCCAGCACTCGGGATGCAGAGGTAGGCGGGATCTCTGTGAGTTCAAGCCCAGACTGGTCTACAGAACAGCGAATTCTAGGATAGCCAGGGCTACACAGAGAAACCCTGTCTCGAAAAATACAAAACAACAACAAAAGATCTTCATACTTAAAAAATTTACATATTTAATTTTTAAAAGGGTCTCAAACAGCTCCAACAGGCCTCAAATTCACTACCTAGCTTAGACGGCCTTTGAACTTGTTATCTTTTGTCTCGACCTCCCAAGCACTGGAGTTATAGGAATGCATGACCATGCCCAGCTTTAAAAAGGTTTTGATGGAGTTAATGTTAACTTAAACTTCTAGGGCCAGCAAGATGCTGAATCTGGCATGGACACTTTGTGCAATGGCTGACACCTGGGTTCTGTCTCCAGCACACACACAGTAGGAGAAGACCAGTTCCCACAAGGAGAAGTTTGATAGCAAGCAAGGTCCAAATGCATACACAGGAACAAATACATGTAATTCAAAAAAGTTTAAAAGTTTTAAGAAATAAAAAATTCCAAGTACGTGTCTATATTACTGTGCTTGGAATAAATGACTGAACCTACTTAAATCATAACACTGGATTTACTTAGCAACCCAACCTTTAATCTCCCTTTAAAATTCTTACCATTCAGAATTCATGTATCACTACTGACTGGGCCTGTCTTGAAATAGTTTTTCTGTTCTTTTGTTGTCTGAGGACGGTCTCTTTGTGTAGACCTGGCTCGCCCAGAATAATCCTCCTGGCCTGAGCTTCCAGGTACTGGGATTGCAGGTGTGGGACACCATGCTCAGCTGCAGATAGCTTTTATGATAATAACTCAACCAGCTTTAATTTTGGATTTTGGTTGTTACTAGAAAATGTTTGCAATTTACACTTTGGGCAATGAGTCTACACTGCTTTTGTCTTTTTTAATTAAATAAAGATTTATTTATTTATTATATAGACAGTGTTTTGCATGCATATATAGCTATATGCCAAAAGAGGGCACCTGATCTCATTACAGATGGTTGTCAGCCACCATGCAATTGCTGCGACCTGAACTCAGGACCTCTGCGAGAACAGCAAACCACTGTGCCATCTCTCCAGCCCCTGCTTTTGCTTTTGTAAACAGACTTCACACACATCCCCCTGTCACCTAGTACTGTTTCCACGTTATGGTGATGTATCCAAAGAAAAAAGTGAAGGGTTTTGTTTGTTTTTGGTTTTCTTTTGGCAGTTCTGGGAATCAAATCTAGGCAGATAACCTGCCACCGAGGTCTACCTTGGTGAAGACTTGAGCCCCCAACTGAGTATTAAAGGAAAACAAAAATTCAAACAAAAAACTAAATTCTGCCAAATATTAGACAAGGTGCAACCTTTTCTTTACACCTTCTCCAATTTTACAAGCATCTGGTTTTGATGTTCACTGGGACATTTCTCAGGAACGCACTCCACTGTCACCCACTCGTCTCAGGCGGTCTCACAGAGCTCGCCACGACACTGCTCACCCTGCGTCTGTCCTGACGATGGTACTGGAATGAGCTGCTGAGCAGGGCTTAATCCTCCAGTTTCTCAGCAGCACTTGGGTAAAGAAAGTTACCCAACCCCAGGCTTAAATGAAGGTTCGAAACCCAGCTCACAGCACCGTGTACAGTGCATAAGCAGAGCATACATATATGAAGTACTTACTGTACAATAAAAAATAAAAATTCAGCAACATCCTCTATATAAAACTCAGGCAATGCTGCAAACGCCTTGGGGACATCTGAACTTAAAGGCAGTGTTACGCTGTAGAAGAGAAAAGAAAAAGAAAAAGCACATTTACAAAATGGAATCACAGCACGTTGACTACACGGGATGTGACACTACTAAATAGCTCACTTAGGAAAGAGAAGCCCTTCCTGTGTAACACAGTGTGTAAAATGTACACAGCAAACACCTGTGATCTCCAGAAGTGAAAGGAGGATGCAGGAAACGGGCACACTCTGTGTGCTGCTTGCCTCGTCAGGGTTTCTGGGTAGAGTTAAGGCAGCAGGCAAAACAGCAAGAGGTCCAAAGCTCATATTTGTCATTTTAAGCAACTTAAACTGAGCCCACAAACCATGCATATATTCTATATAACCTTATCACTCTTAGGGGTACAGGCCAAACCTCACAAATCCCTGTGACCCAGCAGCTTCATAATGAACACAAAACAGTCATAACTGTGACAGCAGTGACTGACATGCCTGGCTCTCCGGGACTTGGTGCGGAGGACTCAGTAGGCTGCTATCTCTAGCATTGTGCTTCTAATTTATAGATTTGCTTTTCTATTTGCCCAATGTTATAGCAGTTTTTTAAAATGCCACCCATTAAAAACACACAGGGAAATATTAATATAGCTCCATAGTGTATGTAATATAAACACAGTCTAGCAAATGAAAGGCAAGCGAACCCTCGAGAGGGTAAGGGTTCCTTTAGTTATGAAGAGGAACCAGGACGAGTGGTGACTCGGCAGGGGAAGACACACTCACTCGGGATATGCAGGGTCCAGGATGCGCAGCATCAGCTGAATGAGAAGGCCATAAAAATTCAGACATCTTCTCAGGAAGCTCTCGTCAAGTAAGCCAGCGTCAGCACAGGCCTTGCACCGTACCAGTTTCTGTGGAAGTAGGCGTGCCCCCACCCACAGATTAGTCTAGAGCCAAGGCCCCTCAGTGTGACCAGGCAGGGAGAGGGGCCAGGAGCTAAGACCAGACTCTAGGTTCTAGGGTGTCTAGAACGCCCTCTCTAACCAGCTACAGGACACCGACTGCTGTGCCAGGGCTTTCTTTTTCCTGAAAACGGTAGGATGATTTCATTGAGCACAGAGGACCGCACGCAGCTAGTGCTGAGGTTAGTCACTGATAACCACTTCTCAAGAACCTGGATGGGGGATAGTGGAAAAAAGCCAGACCAATTGAATCTGACTTTCCACACAAGCACTGATGTGCCACCCTCGAGGCTGCTACCCCTCAGAGGACGGCCATGAGAATGCGATCCACACAGAGGGACATCGCGCTAAGTAGATTCCAACAGTTTATTACAGGTCCCTTGAACTGCAACTGTGGAATACTAAAGGGGTACAGATCTGAAAGAGAAGCCCTGGCTTATTCTGCATCCTGTTGTTAAGACAGGGCCTCCCTCTGTGGCCCAGGCCGGCCTTAAACTCATAGCTACCCCTGTCTTGGGTTCCAAAGTGTGGGGGTTACAAGTAGGAGCCACTATGACCATCTCAATTTTGGATCTTAAAAGTAGTCTCGTCTATTAGCAAATGAAAACCTGAAATCTCAGCCTGTCAGGTAAGCCACAGCGATACTTTTCTCTATCATTCCACCAAGCATGAGCAGCCAACAGTCAGCTTTACAGTATGAACGTAAGCACAAAAAAGGTGCCCACGTGCTTCTCTGCCTCCTTGCAAGGTCAGCCGGTGTGTGTTTAGCTGAGCTTCACCAGCAGCGAAACTTCTGTCTACAGTTAGGTTCTATGTAACAGATCGTTTTCAATCAGAAACGGCAAACAAGGGAAGGGAAAGAGATCTTTAGCACAATGCATTTGTCAACACCATGACTTCGAATGCCTGTGTGTAGAGCGGATGTGTGGCAGGGGAAGGGTCTTTTACAAGGCAGAGGACGAGAACACTAACAAAGAATTCATGGTATAAGCATATGTATATCCTCTATTGGGATTTAAATAATCTTATATAGAAATATTCAAGGTATCATCAAGTTTTAAATTAACCTACTTTACCTTGAGAGAAAAGAACGACGAAGAAAAACTAAGGACATACAATTGCTCATCAAGACGCTTACTCTGGGGGAAAGGTTACTATCGTGAGGCCAGTCCGTGATTACACCAATTAATGGTACAAACCTTAAGCTGAGTTTTACAGCGCTTCAGCATTTCTCGGTGTCTGGGGGCCAGTGGGGAATCTTTCCACTGGCTTTCGTTACTTTTCAAATCTTCCACAGTTCTGAAATGAACAAACAAAGCACACTAACAATCAAAATAAAACACCGAAGTTCATCGTATCTATTCACTTTCCATTGCATGGACTCTCTGACGTAATTCTTTACACACTTAGGAATTTTAAAAAGTAGAGTCCACAGGCCAGACATGATGGTGCATGAGTCCAAGATAACCAGAGTTCCACATAGATTCTGTCTCTGAACAAAATAAAATACAAACCAGAGTATATCCCACTACAGTAAGTTCTGGATTAATTGACGCATTTTTTTTTATTTCAGGTTGTTCATAAAAAAATAATGTGTCTTCTGTGGGAAAGAAGTGTTTTAAGACAAGATTTCTATGTATAACCCTGGCTGTCCTGGAACTCACTCTGTAGATCAGGTTGGCCTTGTCCACAAGAGCTAGTTCCAGGACAGGCACCAAAAGCTACAGAGAAACCCTGTCTCAAAAAACCAAAAAAGTCACATCCAAGGACTGGAGAGATGATGACTCAAAGGTCAAGAACAAATGAAGCTCAGGACATGGGTTCAGTTCCCAGCACCTGCATGATGGCTACAACAATCCATAACTCCAGTTCCAGGGGATCTGATGCCCTCTTCCGACCTCCAAGGGCACCAGTGGCACACAGACACACATGCAGGCAAAACACTCACACATAAAATAAGCGAATCTAAATAAACCACGTAAGGATACTGCACCCTGATCCTGGGACAAAACCTGCAACACGTGACTGCGCTGGGTAGGTTTCTCTGTTTTGTGTTCTTGCTTTTTTTGTCAAGTTGACAGAAGACAGGGTTATCTGGGGAAGGGGAACTTCAACCGAGGAAATATCTTTGTCAGACTGGCCCGTGGGGTCCAGGCACGAGACTGAGAGTGCTGGGCCTGGTGGCCAGGGTCTTCACCACTGTGCCATGTCCTCAGTCTTTAGTGCTGATATTAAAGTGGATGAAATTAGCCAGGGTGAGGAAAACATGAGAAAGATGAATAAGCTTGGCTGGCTTCAAAAGCCCCAAACCAAACAGGGCATATCATATCAGCTAGATATATATAGCACATCCAATGCAGTTTAGCTAGAACACATAGTAAGAGTCAACCCCACCCCAAAGTGTAACTATAAAAAACTGTGAATGAAATAATGCTAAGCAAGGCATGCTTCTAATCCCAACAATGTGGTGTATGTGTGTTAGGGAGGGGGTACTCAGAGACAGGTAGATCTCTATGCGTTCCAGGGTTATACGTTAGAGTCCTTACCAAGGGGGAGACTGTAGGTGGATCTACTCCTGTCAGTCACATTTACCACCCAGTTCTGGGAAGCTGTTGGGTCCATGCTGCCAACTGAGTCTGCCTCTCATAAACCCCATTTACATGTTCCATAACAGAGCCTCTTAAAGGAGCTGCACCTATGTTAGCCACTAGTACCAAAGAAGCCTTCTCTTAAAGGAGCTGCACCTCTGTTTGCCCTTAGTTTCAATCCTACCAAAGAAAATGCCATTATCAGGAAGCTGTGTTTGGCTCCAATTTGTAAGTTTAAAAACTTTAAGCTTTCCTCAGGTTTTATGTGGACGTTTTCTCAGGTTTTTTGGGGGATGCCCCACATTGGGTGCCATATGTAGGTGGAGTTTCTGTCAGGGCAACCGCTCCCAAATAGCCATTCAGAGACGTATTATTATAAATGCTCAGCCAATAGCTCAGACTTGTTATTAGCTAACTCTTACACCTTAAATTAACCCATATTTCTTATCTGCATTCTGCCACATGGCTCGATACCTTTTCTCAGTACGACAAATTCATCTCCTCTCTGTGTCTCCTCCAGATCCTGAGAGACTCCTTGCTCTTTGTTCTGCAAGTTCCACCCAACCTCTACCTGTCCAGGTACTGGGCAGTCAGCCTCCTTATTAACCCAATCAGTGAGACATATTCACACAGTGTAAAGGAATATTCCACATTTGTCTATAAGATATACTATGCCTGTAGGCCAAAGTTGGATAACCCAGCATTACTGAAGAACTCTGGGTGACTGTGGAGGAAGCTACCTGTTTCTGTCATCTGATAATTTTGGAAGTCACTTGCTCTGAATTTCTTGTTTACTCAGATAATATTATATCCTTCGCGGGTCTTTGATGGGGTTGAAGATGAGATGCTATAGATACAGTTCTTCCTAATAGTGGTAGAAAGTAAATCAGGTACGAAACTCTGGACTTCCCAGGAGAGGACAGCTAGTGGAGTATTTTCTCTATTTTGCCAAATACAAATGGACTAGATATTGCAATTCCAATTCTTACTCGATAACTGTTTTTATTGTATATCATTTTCCTATGTTAAAGTTAAAACCTTCTGAGCCTATAATTAGTGATCCTAGAGAAGCTAAATAAGGAGAACCCAAAGAAAAACATATAGGCATCCTCCAGAATATTAACCTTCATCAGGCTATGAAAGGAGACAGAGACAGAGACCCACATTGGAGCACCTGACTGAAATCTCAAGGTCCAAATCAGGAGCAGAAGGAGAGAGAGCACGAGCAAGGAACTCAGGACCGTGAGGGGGGTACCCACACACTGAGACAATGGGGATGTTCTATCGGGAACTCACCGAGGCCAGCTGGCCTGGGTCTGAAAAAGCCTGGGATAAAACCGGACTTGCTGAACATAGTGGACAATGAGGACTACTTAGAACTCAAGAACAATGGCAATGGGTTTTTGATCCTACTGCACGTACTGGCTTTGTGGGAGCCTAGGCAGTTTGGATGCTCATCTTACTAGACCTGGATGGAGGTGGGTGGTCCTTGGACTTCCCACAGGGCAGGGAAGCTTGATTGCTCTTTGGGCTAACGAGGGAGGGGGACTTAATTGGGGGAGGGGGAGGGAAATGGGAGGCAGTGGCGGGGAAGAATCAGAAATCTTTAATAAATAAATAAAAATTAAAAAAAAAAGTTAAAACCTTCCCCTTTTTCTGGTTTTTCGAGACAGGGTTTCTCTGGTTGTCCTGGAACTTGCTCTGTAGACCAGGTTGGCCTCAAACTCAATGAGATCCACCTGTCTCTGCCTTCCAAGTGCTGTAATTAAAAGCCCCTATTGTCCGGCAAAACCTTCCTTTTTAATTAAACAAAAATGAGGAAATGTGGAATGTGCCTTTATAGTGTGTAACATATAAAATTTAAGAATTAGCTAATAACAAGTCTAAACTATCGGCTGAGCATTTAATTAATAGTCTCTGAATGGTTATTTGGGAACATCTGCTGAGACACAGATAAACTCCACCTACAGAAAAAAGAGAGAAAAAAGGGAAAAGGAATGGGAGATACTGACTGACACAGCCAAGGAGACCTTGAACTTTGCCTCCACCTCACCAGTGCTGAGGTGCCACGGAAGTATGCCACCATGTCACAGCTTTGGCTAGAGCATATTATCATAATTGCTCTATTTTGTTATTAGTTGTTAATCCCACAGTGTACCTAATTTCTCAATCTGTATCATAAATATGTATCCATAAGAAAACATTACAAGTAAGGTTTTGTAGCATTTATGTCAGACACAGACAACAGCGCAAAGGGGATTCCATGTTTTCTTGATTACCACAGAAAACAGGGTTTGACAGTCTAGGGCAAGAAGGTATGCCGAAAAGGCAGGAGCTCCTCAAACTAGTTCCTGGTAATCTTCACACCCAGCGGAAAGCTTTTAGCAAGCACATCCAGAGATGAACACCAAGGGCTCAGAGATCAACCTCTGTACCACTTTATCACATACAGAGCACAGGACGAACGGGAGGCACCAACACGGTAGTAGAAGCAGATAGAATACCGCAATGTATCAGATCTACTGACCACAGCAGACAGCTTGTGCCTAAGAGGCAGCAGTAACAGTAACCAATGCCAGAGCAGGGAAGGGATCACGGCACATACCTGTTGAGCTCTCGGATAGCTCGTAGTCTGCGGATGTAGCGACGACAACTAGGCAGAATAGAGAGGTGGTGAGCGTGCAGGGTGAGAAAGAAACATTCCGTAGGGAATTTTGGCTCAGAAAATGGAGGCTGATCTCCATCTAGAATAAAAGCAACAACAAGCACCCTTAACTAAAACAAATTCAAGCCTTAAGGAAAACGTTTTATTCCAAAGGAATATCGGTGAAGAATATTTTCTGTGTGCATGTTTTTGTGATGTAAGGACATATTTTGCATTTGCATACGTGAAATTGTCTTGTGTCTTTTACAGCTTATTTTTTTGAGACTGGTTACCTATCTCACTGAACTCAGATATTACCAACTGTCAAGCTAGACAGACAATGACTCGGATCATCCTGCCTTCTTCCACCAGCTCTGGGAGCGATAGATGTGCACCACCAGGCCCAGCTTTTATGTGGCTGCTGGGAAGCTGAGCTCATGTCCTCACGCTTGCAAGGCAGCGCTTTCCTGACCAAGGGAGCCCTTCCGCAGTCCAGGCATTTTCATTCTTTATTTTTGTTCTTTGTTTTTTGTTTTTTTTTCTTTATGTGGTTCTGGCTGTCATGGAACTCTTTATATAGACCAAGCTGTCCTTGAACTTACAGAGATCTACCTGTCTCTGCTTCTATGGTGCTTAGATTAAAACCATACAACACTATCGCCAGCCTCCAAGAATATTTTTTTTTTTTTTTGGTTTTTCGAGACAGGGTTTCTCTGTGGCTTTGGAGCCTGTCCTGGAACTAGCTCTTGTAGACCAGGCTGGTCTCGAACTCACAGAGATCCGCCTGCGTCTGCCTCCCGAGTACTGGGATTAAAGGCGTGCGCCACCATCGCCCTGCTAAGAATATTTTTTAAAGTACAAACTTATGTGACACCATAAGAAAAACAAATTCCTACGTGCTTTAGTTAAAGGCTCTGTACCCTGTCTTAGCTGATTAGATGTTTATATAGATCAACCTTTTATGATATGTCTTCCTAATATATCTTACAAAATCATCTTCATATCCCAAGATGTACACATCATTTCAACCTGACAACAGTATTAGGCATATTAATCCACCACAGTCATTTTCTTACATGTTTGTTTTCCTACTTTCTAGGAAGAACTTTGTACTTTGATTTTTTTTTTTTTCCCCGAGACAGTTTCTCTGTGGCTTGGAGCCTGTCCTGAAACTCCCTTTGTAGACCAGGCTGGTCTCAAACTCACAGAGATCCGCCTGCCTCTGCCTCCCGAGTGCTGGGATTAAAGGCATGCGCCACCATTGCCCGGCTGAACTTTGTACTTTGAACATCAACTTCTGGAGTATAGGCAGAAAGTAGACTCACAGAGAGAATATCATTACATAGTAGGTTTTTGGTTTTGTTGTTTGTTTATTTGTTTTGCAGTTATTTTGGTTTGGCTTTGGTTTTTCCATACAGGGTTTCTCTGTGTAACAATTCTGACTGCCCTGAGAGTTGCTTTGCAGACCAGGCTAGCCTTGAATTCACAGAGATCCGCCTGCCCTTACCTCCTGAGTACTAGGATTAAAGATGCGTGCCACCACAGCCCAGCTACATATGTAGTAGTTTTTAATCAGTACATAACGACTCATTTATAGAGTTGGTACTTAACATGTGTGTATAGAATGTCATAGTTAAATCGTTCGAGCATTTACCCTATCTCTGTGCTGAAAACAGTCAAACCCCCTCCGCAGCTTTTATGAAACATGCACTGAGCTACTGCTGACGGCTGCTACCCTGCTGTGCTAAAGAACATTAGCGGTGATTTCTCCTATACAACTGTGCCCTTAACCAGTTTCAGGGGCAGTCTTGCTGCTTAGGAGACTGAGGCAGGAGGGTTGCTTGAGTCTAGGAACTTGAAGCTACCATGAACAACACAGGAAATCCATAACTTAAAAACTAAAGCAAGCTAGTCCACTGCTACTCTATCACCATCCTCTGTGTGTGTCTCCCTCCCCATCCTCTGCTGCTCTATCACCATCCTCTGTGTGCCTCCCTTTTCCCTTCAACAGTGTTATAATTTTAGGGCTGGAGAGATGGCTCAGTGGTTAAGAGCAATGACTGTTCTTCCAGAGGACCTGAGTTCTATTCCCAGCAACCACATGGTGGCTCACAACCATCTGGTGCCCTCTTCTGGCCTTTAGGCATACATGGAGGAAGAATGTTATATACATAATAAATAATATACATAATAAATAAATAAAATCGTTTAAAAAAGTGTTATAATTTTATAATATTCCCAGAATTCATTTTAGGCTGAGGAAACGAATTTATTAAACAACATCTATTTTTTTCTTTTCTTGGTCTTGTAAGGTAGGATTCTTGCTGTGTAGCCCACACTGACCTTGAACTCGTGATTCTCCTACCTTCCTCCAGAGTGCTGGGGTTCCAGATTTATACTAAGTAAGACTGAGCACCAAGTGATTACTTTCCTAAAAGGTGTACATTTCATCATGGCATTTCCTTTCCAGGTAAATAGGAATTCATCTTATTCCACACATAATTTTTAAATATTAAAAAAAGAAGTGGCAGGGGGTTTTGATTTTTGTAATTACAAATATATTTTATGCTACCAAGAAGCAAGATAATTATCCTTTATACCTTAAAACAGCCATATTTTCAACTGCCACGATACAACATAAAATCTGTAATAGAGTTGTTACTATCGAGTTTTCTCTTTCCTGCCCATCTGCTCTATGTATCTGTGTTCAGTATTCAAGGAAGAAATTTCACTATGTTAATCTTCACTCTGCATCTCCATCTCCCAGAGCCATGCAGATGAAAGAGAGGTGAGCCAGCCATGAACACAGCACTCACAGAGCTCAGCCAGCCACTCATTCACATCCTCCATCGTTGCATTTATCCGTGTCTCATCGTTCGGGAGATTAATCCGACATTTCGGGTGGAATATGTACGTGGGGTCGACTGTTTCTAACTTGATCTTTGTACTTAGCTGCTGCAGGACCCAAAGGAGGTTCAGCATAAAGCCGTCTGTGGACACCAACCGATCATCTGCCTGGGACACAAAGTGAAAGCAATTCAAATGACTGGTAAGTACAAATTCCTATGAGAGCACCTGGGGCACTCCAGTGTGACCACTCCCTAAAGTCAGTAACCAGACGTAAGGTGATGCCAGCCAAGCAAGGTCCCACCTATCCATTACCACGTCCTCACTGACCGTCTGCATAGCACAATTCATAGTTAGAGAGGGAGTGAAGGTCAGAGAACCGGGAAGCAAAGGCAGAACAAATGTAGCTTCCGTTCTCGTTCTTATTTCTCAGGAACATCAATCAGCACAACGAGCTGCACCCCATGTGACAGCTTTGTCGTGTAAACAATGAGCATAGACCCACATGAGCAACTAAGAAGCCATTAGAGCTGAGCGACCACTGTACACTAGGGACTATTCTTTTTTTTTTTTTTTTTTTTTTTTTTTTTTTGGTTTTTCGAGACAGGGTTTCTCTGTGGTTTTGGAGCCTGTCCTGGAACTAGCTCTGTAGACCAGGCTGGTCTCGAACTCATAGAGATCCGCCTGCCTCTGCCTCCCGAGTGCTGGGATTAAAGGCGTGCGCCACCACCGCCAGGCCACTAGGGACTATTCTAATGCTTTACGTAGAAGCAGCCCACAAATCAGCAGTCACTCCTAATCCCATTCACCAAATGGAGACCCTGAGGCACAGAGAAATGCAGGTGTGGCCGATTTATAGACCACATGCAGCTGAGGCCGGCTATGAATGTGGCCCAACATAAAACTGTGACTCACATAGAACAGGGTGAAATTTCTGTGTGATCTCCTTTGACTGCATGGTCCTTGGGTGCTGAGCTACCTATGGCACCAAGTGACAATGTCAAGGGACTGGACACAGCAGACACTGTACGCAGCACCAGAAGTCACTGGGCTTTTGCTCTTCTCTATACTTTTATTATTTTGCTTACAAGTTCATTCTATTAATAATAATCTGGAATTTTTAATTTCCCTGCTCTTACCATGAGCAATGTAGATCTTCTTCAGGCCTGCTCCTGCCCCTGTGATCTCCTGGCTGACGCCCCTCCCCTTCAGTGTATCCCACTACAGTCCTCACCGATAAGCCCTGACCAGACTCAAGCTTCTTTTTCACCTGCACATTTGCCCCCAGTCACAAAGGCCTACATCCTGGCTCACAATGAAGCTGGCCCATTTCTGCTCTACTACTTTATAAGTACTGTGTATGTTCTAGCCTTGTAACGACAGGCTCCTCAGTCAAGGCTTTGATACAACGCCACCTCCTCAGAGAGGCCACCCTGCTACCTGATCAAAATTCATTCCTGTACCTTCCTTCTGGCACACCACAGACACTCCCAAACCTGCGCACTTCCATCTCGGACTCTACTCCTGTCTGGAATACTGCACTTGCACGTCTACTCCCTACCAGAGAACTCAGGATCCACACAAGGGGGAGACTCGCCTGTCTTGTTGCACGCTGTCTTCCTGATCCCCAGCACTCAGCCTGGGAGGAGCTGCATTAAGTCTGAGCAAGATAAACAGGTTCAATGAGCACCTGAGGCATTAGGGTGACTCGTACCTGCATCTGGGCTTTCTTCATATTGGCATTGACGATGGCCGCCATGTAACTGAGAGCTGCTTCACGAGTTTCGCCATTTAACAATACACTATGCAGAATCTTGAAAAGCTCTTGCTGAATTATTTTCAAAAAGAAAAAACAATTGACTTCTTTTTTACTTTGAGATTAGCTTACCACTCCCCCTTCCTCTTCCACACCCATTCCTTGTATGGACGCCAAGACAGTCAGCACATAGAAGTGTGTGTGGGAAAGCAGGACCTCGGAGGGCAGCAGCGTGCAGTGGGGAGGATGCTGAGCAGCCACAGGTTTAATAACCCAGCCTCTGTCACTGCCATCCCATGACCAATATGGCTTCAATTGGCAAAGGCACTTCACGTTTGCAGTTGAGGACAAGGGATCAGCAAAGGGTGCCACACTATCAGCTTTTGCTCATCCCCATGGTTTCCATGGTTATGGCAAGATGGAGGGAAAGCACGGCCACTGGACATCACTCCAGCCCTCAGTGACAGTCCCAGAGAAACAGCATAGCTGGACTTCAGTCATTACTCATGTCACAGTGGGGCTCTCTGGGAGACCTAACTGTACCCTCGAGGTGCTGGGCCTGGGCTCCATCTCTGCCCCGAAGCAGCAACAAGAGCTAACAGCAATGAGCTGAGCTCTACACGGAGCATCTTCCTCGTAGCACATCTGCCTTCTGTGACGCGGGAGACCCCGGCAGCACTCATCTATGAAACAGGCTTTCTTCCCCCGGGAGGCCCTCGCCTCTGCTTCCCTTCTCAACACCTACCCGTCCCAGCTCCAGGTAATGCTGTAGTGACTGGCTGACGACACGGGTGTTCTCCAGGGTAATGGTGGGCCCTGAGAAGTATTTCTCAACCACCTTTGCCTGAAAGGAGACGGGAAATACTCGATCAGCATACAGTGACCACCTGGGAAGGGCTGAGCGGGCGTCAAATGTGTACTCACATCGTCCTCCGCAAAGACCGAGAAGCTAAAGAAGGCCCCTAAGTAGGAGAGTCTCTGCAGCTCCCGCCCAGAACCAGGGCTTAAAGACTTCGGCAACCACAGGGGCAAAGAGGCGACCTAGAGACAACACAGGGGGACCCATCAAAGCTGCTGAGGGAGATGGTGTGGGAGGAGCCCAGAGTGCCCAGCAATCAGCTATACAGGTGGTTCTGGCCACCAAGCACCCCCAAAATACAAGGTACAAGTCAGGTTCCTTTTAATATTTTTTTGACTTCTGACAGTAGGTGCTCTCCAAGTTCCACACTTTTGTAACAAGCACTTTACGTTTTTTATTGATTCTTTCAGAATGTCGTGTGTGTGTGTGTGTGTGTGTGTGTGTGTGTGTGTGTGTGTGGTCTGACATTTCTCCCCACTGTCCTGTTTTTCTCCTCTGCTCTCCCCAATCTCTTTTCCCCCAGCACTGCTTCTGTTCTCGTGCGATTCTTGTATAGCACACTGCACCTGAGCACAAGCGGGCACCACCACTGCAGCAAGGTTCCCGCAGCAGCAGGCAGACACTGAGGGCTATGACTCCCCCAAGCCTACAAGAGGTCAGGACACTCCTAAGTGAAGCTTACAAGACCCGTTGTGATGTTCCTCAGAGGGTCTGCTCATTTCCCACAGCACCTGCTACTCTTGCTGTAGAGCACTTAGCCCCCGGAAAAGCAGACAAAGGAAATACGTCGGCACAGAAGACACCACATAGAACAGCGATTTACAGCAGGAGGGCGTTACCCCCCTCCCCGCGTCTGTCTCTATCCAAATGTCTTTCACGAGAAGTCTGTAGCTGACACTACTTGTCCTCTGAGCGGTGACAGAATCAGCGCATGGGTTCACCAGGTGACACTTACCAAACTGCATACAGGGTGTGTCTTCCCAAACTTGGTTTCACAGAGTTCACCTAGTGCCTAGAAATAAGACAGGACAGAATCACTGGGTATGTTCTGTTTCACACTGCTGTTGTGTGTGACAGCAAGGGACAACTTTCATTTCCACTCCAAATGCTTGACGATGCTCATTATGAGGGCATCAACTTCACTACTTTTCCTACTTAGTAAAGGAACACACACGAATGGCAAAACAAAACAAAAAGAACACATACAAAAACAGGTGTTGGTGGCTCATGCCTTTAATGCCAGCACCCAGGAGGCAGAGGCAGGAGATCTCTGTGAGATCTGTTAGAGGCCAGCCTGGTCTACAGAGCAAGTTCCAGGACAGCCAGGATTATTTCCCAGAGAAACCCTGTCTCAAAAAACCAAAAACAACAACGAAAAGAAAAACAACCCTGTCTATGTGGCCTGGTGCGTACCTTTAGTCCCAGCACTCAGGAGGCAGAGGCAGGCTGATCTCTGTGAACTGGAGGCTAGTCTGATCTATGGAGTTCCAGGATAGCCAGCGCTACATAGTGAGACCCTGTCTCAAACAAAACAAAATAAATACCTTTGTGGGAAGGGGGAAAACATGATAAAAAAATATTTCATGAAAGAATATTTAAATTAAAAAAAAAAAAAGCATTTAGGAAATGGAGCACACAGAGAACAGCTAGAATCACTCGGACACTCTGGTGTCCTTTCCAAAGGGTGTGAACGTAGTCTTGAAGACTGAGTTTTTGCTTAATGTCATTTCATAACACAAGATTTTTTGCATGGACTGTGTGTGCTAATCCTGCCAGCGCTAACCAGGGCTTTACCCTGGACCCAAAAAGCTACCAGATGCAGATCACTTAAAAGGATGACATGGCTTCCGGCATGAGCAGGCGCGGTAACTCTTCTTCAGTGCTGTCTTCATTCTATACCAGACAGTCATGACCACAGTTTAGCCGAAGTCCATCAAGCCACAACGAATATGAAATTAGTTTCTCCGTGACTTAGAAAGAAGCTGCCTATCAGCCATCGAGCCATGAACAGACGCAGTGACGTCACTGATACAAAGAACTGCTGAGGCATGCAAGTTCTCACTGCGCAGAGTAGGATACCGCACTAACACCACAGGGAAAGCCTAAGACAATGTCACCACCAGGCAGCACACCATCCACAAAGGAAGACAAACTCGGGAGGCGGCAGCCATATGACAGCATCATCATTTATTGCTGCTTTTGTTATTGTGTTATTGTCTGTGCGTGTGCTTCTTTCAGATGAGACTTTGCTATGTCCCCCTAACCTCCTAAATGCTGGCTCTGCAGACATATGCCACACGTCCAGTAGCATCAGCATAAAAGACAGCTCCAGCAATCACACCATAGAATAAAGCAATAATCCAGCAATTTCTGCGCTAGCTCCAGAAGCCTTTCTCTTCCTGCCCATTTCCCATCCCCGCCTCACTTTCCTCTCTGCCCTTTAGATACACCCTCGTTATTGTACCAGCATCAACAGCAGGCTCCAATTAAACCACTGTCTACCACAAAGGATGCTTCTGTCGTTCACGAGGACATTTTGTTGATATGTCACTACACACTCTTCACTGGAACATTAAACTACTCCAGATGGGGGCTGAGAAGTCAGCAGTCCCAAAGGAGCATTTACAAGACAGTGAGGGCACAGGCAGCACCGACTGAAAACCTCAGCTGAAACAACAGTGACAATCCCACGTCCTCTCTGCCCTCGCCATACGGTTTATGGGAAACCTGAGGAATATGACTGCAACACAAAGTCTCAGAAACAAGATCCGCATTTTTATTTACTTACTTTCTTGGTGGTTTCTGTTGTTGTTGATTATTGTTTTTTGAGACAGGATCTTACTATGCAGCCCAGGTTTGCCTGAACTCACCATGAATTTCAGGCTGGTTCGCCCAACCCAGCCTCCTGAGTGCAGAACTACAGTACACCTGGATCTAACTTCTTTCTTTACCTGCTTTCCTCCACCCAGGGTAGTCTCAAGCGCGTATGTGATCTCACTATGGTAGAGGTGGATGGTCGAGCTCACGACCCTCCTGCTTTGACAGACCTGGCTCACTCTGTAGCCTAGGCTGGCCTAGAATTCACTGAGTAGCTGATCCGGCCTTTAATTCACGATTAGCTTTCTTGCCTCAGATTCCCAACGGCTGGGGTGAGGTGAGAACCAGACGCGGCCAGGCCTCACACTCTCACTCATTGAGTGAGGACGTTCACCCTGCTAATGCTGCGACAGTTCTGTCACCTGTGTGAGCATTTGTCACAGTATATAACTCTCAAGATATTTTGCTATGATACAATTTTTACCATGAATTATTAACAGCCCAAAGCAGCAGTTCTCAACCTGTGGGCCATGAGCCTTTTTCACCTAAGACCATTGGAAAACACAGATATTTACAGTATGATTCATAACAGTAGCAAAATTACAGTTATAAAGTAGTAACAAAAATGGTTTCACAGTTGGGGGTGAGCACAACATAAGGCACTGTATTAAAGGTTGAGGACCACTGTGTTAAAGAGTCTCAGCGTCAGGAGGGCTGAGGACCGCTGGGTTAAAGGTCTCCGCGTTGGAGGATGAGAAGCAAGGCTCTAAGGGAAGAGAGCTTGTTTCCCGAGCTCTGTGATCTGGTACCATTACCAGGTACCAAGGCATCAATAGCATAATAGAATCAAATCAATAGAATGAGTACAAGGAACAAAGTATCAATTTCTCTATGATCAATTTATACAAAGTTGTAAATGTACATAGAGTAAGAGTTTCATGGCTTGGCAGGTTTTCAGTACAACCCTGTAAAAAAAAAAAAAAGGAATACCTGAAGGCATGTCTCCCAAAACGCCAAAGAAGCAAATTCTAAGCAGAAGAGTCTCTCATTTGTTTTTTAAATTTTTTGAGATAGGGTCTCTCTGCAGAGCTCTGGTTGTTCTGGAACTATGTAGACCAGGCTGTCCTGGAACTCTGAAATCTGCCGCCTCCACCTCCCGAGTGCTGGCATTAAAGGCGGCGCCACCATGGCTCTCACAAGCACAGCAGTGGTTTATGACAGCTGCACCCCCAGTGGAAATCTAGCTAAAGATTCTGCCCATAATTTCTGCTTGTTTTGAGCACCTTGGGGCATCAGGCACATCTCTGTTTTGAAGAAAATAGCACAGATGAGACGCATGGCTTCACAGATTCACTGTGCCCAGTACACAGAGATAAACTGCATTACCTCACAGGTAGAACAGTGCCCTTTGACCTTACCCCTAGTAATCTGTTTCTGTGTGGGGGAGGGAGGGATGGGTGTTTGCAAGGATGCACATGTGTGCTCACATGGGTGGAGGAACGGGAGTGATGTTGGGAATCTTCCAGCTTATTCTCACTGAGGCAGAGTCTCTCCATCAAACTCCCAGATCAGCAACAATGGCTAGTTTCTCTAGCTGGCCTGATCCAGGGATCCTCCAGCTCCACCTTCTAAGGCTAGAATGACAAGCAGGGCACTCGACACGCCCAGATTTATGTGGGTCCAGGCTTCCTGATTTTCAGGCAAGCACTCTGACTACTAAGTCATCTCCCCAGGCTCTATTCATAGGTTAACAGATTCACTTAGTGTATGTGCGCATATGTGTGTATGCAAGTGGACACACATATGCCACAGCACATGTTGGGAAGTCAGAATAAAACTTTCGGAGCTGGTTATTGTCTTCCACCTTGTTTGGGGGCAGAATCTCTGATTTCTGTCACTGCACTTTGCTATTCCAAGCTAGTTGGCCCATGAGCTTTTGGCCAGTTGTCCTGTGTCCACCTCTGACCTTCCCCGAGACGTACTGGGACTACAGTTACAAGCCCCCATATCTGGCCTTTCATGTGCAGCCACAGGAAGCAAACTCAGGTCACAGGATCATGTGGCAAATATTTTAGCCTACTGAGCTAGCTGTGGCTCAGTAAACAAGATTTTCCCCCTGCTGGTCACGAGCACACACAACTGTAAGCCAAGCACTTAGGAAGCAGAAGGAGGTTCATGAGTACAGGGCTAGCCTGGGCTACACAGGGAGATATTAAAATGATTTCATTCATTGGGGAATTTTAAAAAAGATTTATTTTCATTTATGTGCACATGTGCATGTGCCTCCTGAGTACAGGTACTTGTGTGGGCCAGAAGAGGGCAAAGTTCATGGGGCTGGAGTTACAGGCAGTTTTGCAAACCAAGCCCAGGTAACATAGAAGAGCAACAAGCACTTATAACTGCTGAGCCACTTCTCCAGCCCCAATTTGCTGATGCTGTTTTCCATCTATTTTTACTGTGTGTGGGGGGGATACAGAATATATGTGCAAGACAGAGGAGAACTTACGGATTTGGTACTCTCCCTCATCCTTACGTGGGTTTAGGCTTGCACAGCAAGCATTTTAAGATGAGCCAGACTCTTAAGGGTTTCTCTTTAAAATCCCAAGTATGGTTTGTGCTGTTCTGAAAATCAGCAAGTTGCCCCCAAGAGTGATGCTTTGTGCTAGCAATCTAGGCTGGCAAAGCACACTGGCATCAGAGCTTCACTCGCTGCGTCTGGGACTGGTAGGGGTGGAGTGCAGAGGGCTACAATGCACCCAGGCAGCTCAGCACACAACCGCATTCCATCTGGCCACACCAGGCTCCAGGCTTTACATGTGAATGCGGGATTAATCTACACCGTCACTGCAACACATGAAAGGTAGAGGCGGTGAGACCAGACTCAACAGTCATCTTAAGCCTGAAGACATGAGACTGTCTCAAAAACTAAAACATTTGAAAACATGACTGAACAGAGATCTAAGAGGAAGTGTCTTTTACCATGAGGGGGTATTTGAAGTAGTCACTGTCGAGAGAGCACTCCTTGGCAGCCAGAGCCAGGCCTTGTAAAACAGGGATAAAGATCTGTAAGAAAGAAAGGCACAGACATTAGACTGAAGGCAAACAAAGCATGTCGGGCAAGGCACTGGGGATCGGCTGTTCATAGGAGAATGGGCACCTTTATCAGTGGCTGTATCACTAGAGAGAGAAATTATCTTTCCATCCCATCCCCCAGCCACCACTAACTGCAGGGGAGGGGGGAGCTGTATGAGTCCTCCCCTACTCCATGACTCAGCGCAGATGCACGAGTATCCACTGGCCACTGTACCTGCTTGAACACCTCTTCATCCTGGTGAGTGGTCCTCACCAGCTCCTGAATGAAGCCGTACGGGAGGTTCCTGCACAGCATGTATGGCACGAGGAAGGACGGCTGCTGCAAGGACCTGCAGACCCAAGAGAAGCAAGGACTGTGATGGAAGCACATGGAACACCATGGCCCATAGACTACCCAGTCACACAAACATACATTTTAAATGAGACACCAGAAGAAATAACACAAGCAACTCTTTCTTTGTGGAGTCCTATCAAAGTGAAGAGTCAGGGCTGGGACCTCAGCCACAAGACACTTTACTAGCAAGTGCGAAGCCCCAGGTCAGATCCTTGGCAACGGAAAATAAATAATAAACGCACCTAAAATGAATTATGGGAATGAGAGAGATGGCTCGGTACTTAAGAGCTCTTATAGAAGTTATGTTTGGTTTCCGGCACCCGTGTGGTGGCTCACAACTGTTTTTAACTCCAGTTCCAGGAGATCCAACGCCTTCTTCTGACGTCCAAGAGCACCGCAAGCACCCGGTACATGCGGCACACGCACACACACACAAGCAAAATGCCCGTACACACAGTGAACCTAAAACTCCTTTAAACAATGAAAAAGAATTGTTGTTCATTTATTTGTTTATGTCTCATCCACATTGAGGAAAAGATTAGTAATCAAACACTTTTTTTTTTGTTACTTGTTTTTTTGTTTGGTTTATTTTGGTTAGTTTTTCAAGACAAGGCTTAAAAACTCCAAAACATATAGTACAGGGAATAGCAGAAAGGAAAAATGCAACTTTTTCCATTTTTCCTTTAGCTATTTTTGCATAAAAAACAGCAAACGCAGACTAGAGGGATTGACGCCAGTACTTAAAGAACACGGCTGTTCTTCCAAAGGACCTGGGTTCAATTCCCAGTGTCCACACAGAGGTTAACAACTGTCTCGAACTCCAGTTCCAGAGGGAGCCAATGGCTTTTTCTGGCCTCTGTGGCCACCGGGCATGCACGTGATACACAGATATACAAGCAGATAAAACACCCATGCACGTAAAATAAAACATTCTAAAAATGCAATCTTTTACTAATGTTGAAAGTGATGCAGATTTTTCTGATACAGGCAAATCACAGAACTTTGGCCAATTTCCAAATCATTTCCCTACTGTATTTTATTTTATCTTGTCTTTATGAAGGGTCTCATCATTAAATCCAGGCTGGCCTAGAACTTACAGCTTAGGCCAGACTGGCCTTGAATTGGTGGCGATCCTCTTGCCTCTGCCTCTTGCTAGGAATATAGGTATGTGCCCCTTCACCTGGTTCTCCCCCCCCCCCACTATTCTCTAACACCTAGTAACAGAAACCAACATGGAGACACATGGAACACGATCATTTTGTCACAAACACACACTAACTTCAAACACTAGGTTTTAAATTAAATTATTAATATTCTGCCTTGGTTCTTCATATTTCAAAGGTACACAGAACTCTTAAAAGGTAACTAACTTCTTTTCCAAAACAGACTCTATACTATTTAGAAGATGAAAACATTATTTTATTACCACGGTATTCATGGAGGAAAGACTCAGGCCTTAGATGGATCTATTTTTATCTTATGTGTGAGTGTTTGTCCTGTATGTATGTCTATGTATTATACCACATGTATACAGTGTCCTCAGAGGCCAGAAGAGGGCATCAGATCTCCTGGAACTGGGGTTACAGATACTATTACCCACCAAGTATATGCTGGGGATCGAACCCAAGACTTCATTCACCAAGAGCAGCCAGTGCTCTTAACCACTGAACTATCTCTCCAGCCTGAGCTTTGAAGACTGAATCAAACCCATTCCCTGTACAGGTCACAGAGTTATCTAGCCTAGCATAAAACAGCTGGAAGACGGAATCCAGTGAGAGATGGCCCTCCCTCCAAACACCAGAAACACGCAACATGCGAGTCAGTCATACCTGGGCTGTGTGAGGGAACCTTGCAGCACTAGCGCGGTGTGGGAGATGCACTGCGAGCGGATGTTGCTCAGAAGCTGGCTGACTGCTGGCTGGCTGCACATCTGGAGAAGAAAGTCAGAGTCAGGATGACACACCGGAAAAGGGCTGGAGGAGAGCAATGGCTAGAAAATGCCCTGCTTCCCTCTCCCTAGACTCAGAATGGACAAAGTACATGAAGTGTGCCACTGGCCTGTGCCACCTGTACTGAGGCAATAAGGGAACACGGAGCAGAATGGGGGGGGGCACACCCAAGGTATTTCCTTTTCGGGGTGTTAGATCATACTTTGAGGCAGGGTCTTTCATACAATAGCCCGGTTTGGTTTCAAACTCACAGCAATCCTCCTGTCCCGGGCTCCCAGAGTGCAGAACTGAAAAGTGTGCACCACCATTTCTACCTAGCATGTCTTTGCTTTTGCTAAGACTAAGGACAATCCCTGAAGAGGCCACACAAATTTAAAACTAACACAGGCAAAGTTAAACAGTGAAATGGTAGGGAATGAGATGGGCCAGGTGTGGTGGCACATGCCGTTGATCCCAGGTGCCAGAGGCAAGTGGCTCTCTGTGAGTTCGAGGCCTGTCCGAGCTATCTAGTTGAGACTCCATCTCAAAATAAGGGGCTGGGAGAGGGTAATGCTTCCTTGGTTTAGCGTGATCCTACAGCTTGTTATTTAATAATTCTGACAATTAGAGCTCCATCTCTGAGGGGCAACTCTTACTCATACATGGCTGCTCGGATTCACTGGGCAACTGTGAAAATCTAAGCTCATGGACTGATTACAGGTCCTAGAATCCACAGCATTGCTTTGGATGTTTTCAGAATTATATCAGGCAATTGGTACTTTGGTTTCAAGATAAGCATGTCCCCTGAAGGCTCACATGATAGCCCGCTGATGAAAACTGGAGGGCGAGGAGATCACCATGGCTGTGACTCTAGCTTCAGCAATGTGCTGCTGATGATACAGCAGACCTGCTAGGTAAGGCCTCATAAAGGGACATAGGTCAGCATGTGACTGGGCTCTTCCTGTTTTTCTCTGCTTCCCAGCCACCATGATGCTTCCCAGCAACATGGCTGTACCACACTTGTCCACCATGACGTTCACCATATCCCAGAAACAAGGGCTCAGCTGATGATGGATTTAGATGTCTGTGAGCACACTGCACCTCTCCTCCTGTGAGCTTCCTGACCATGTGTGACACAGGGCAGATGAAGGAGAGGCCTCCAGAGCCAAGGCGCGTGGGCTCATGCCTAAGCTCTGGCATCACCTCTCTCCACAGCAATGTGTTACAGGCAGATCCTGAGCTGCCAGTGTTCTGCCTGGTCCCTACCAGCTGCTCCATCACTCCTGACTGATCAGTGACCAGCTTCCCCTGGAACAGCGACAAGCACGTACACAAGATAACCAGTTTGCTTTCTTTCTGGTCCATCCACTTCACAGTACCTTTGGTGCTTTTTTTTCCTCTATTCCAACTCGGTCAAAACACTCGATGAGGTAGTTCAGCATGTCTGTCTCCTTGCAGGTCTCAATGGTGAAATGATCACTGTACGAATCCCAGTTACTTGCTCCACCAGAGGCTCCCAAACTTTGGAGAAGAGAAAAAACATTGACAATGCTTACCTCTTAGCGACCATTCCTACAGAGAAGCCTGACACTCTGCAGCAGAAAGCCTGTTAGGAGCCCGGCATCCACGGTGAAGCACAAACACCCATGCAGCCAGACTGGAGCTCACCGATGCTTTATCTGCTCCCAGCCCAACCATTGATCTCTTATAAACATGTTCTAGCCTGTCAATGGGACCTGGCCTTTCTAGGGAGGGCACCTTATAAATCAGAAGGACTGGGAATCGCTGCTGACTATAGAACAGCTAGAGTCAACCACAGGTTCATAAGCCAAACCGAGTAGCATCACTTGGGCAGAAACAAGTGGCCAGACAATATTATAATCCATCACCTCAGGAGAGACGCTCTAAGCGACTATGGATACTATCTCTCACTTCTAGGACAGCTACTTAGACCTGAACGGACTTCACTCAGCATTGACAACAGGCCAGAACTTACAGAAAATACCAAAGTGTAAGGAAACAAAAATCCTGCAAGGAGTAAGCTCCACTGGGCTGTCTTCCAGCTTAGATTGCTACCTGCACCCACAGCCTTCACTACACCTGCAGGGGGCAGTATGGAACACTGCTGCTGTTTGCAGTGACTATTCCCACACAAAGGCCAAACATCACAGTGGTTTAGGCTCAAGGATACTGAGTAAAGCTGAGGTTAACCTCAAACAGATCACAAACCAAACTGGGTGTTGAACTACCACACTCATCTGTTACATACAAAGATCACAAGAAGTTTAAGACGGAGGAAGAAGTCAGGGAATTCTTTAAAAAAAAAAAGGGGGGGGGAACACATCACATATGGAAGATGATAAAGACGGAAATAACCAGAATCGTGATAGAAACGTTTCTCCTCCAACCTCACGCAAAGTACAGAAACTAAAAGGCCCAGGAACTGAGATAGCAATAATATGCTATGGACTCAGAGGAATGCATCATTAATTTTGGGAAATCCAGGAATAAATCACCCTGCACTGGGGACTCCACATAGCTGACCTGAGAGAGAATGAAAGCAGGGTGTGGAAATAACGTTATAGAGCCAAGACTTCAGGACAGAGGCTAACAAACCTGATTTACTAGAATTTATAATACAGCCTGATAAAAATTTTAAAAGAAAGGGAGGAAGGAGGCTAAGGGGCAGTCTAGACGAAAGGGCAGGCCTCCGGTTTGCAGGGTACCTCACTGGATCCTGGACAAAGGCAGCCTGGGGAAGCTAAAGCAGGGTACAATCGTTCTGAGGCAGCCACCACAGTCTGGGTGTGCCTTACCTTAGGACCTCTGGCAGGTCCTAACCGGCTAGACAGTAGAAGCCTGCACTGTGTGATGAAGCACAGGAGAAACTCATCCAGTACAAGCGTGCTGAGTGCAGCGAGTCCTGGGAAACCTGCCCGATCCACAGCAGTCTGAGTTCATCTGTGACTCTCTATTTACCACACAATCTGAAGACGGGCATCGTTAATACAGCCTACATGTATGTGTAATTCATAGTAATTTTCCTTGTAGCAGCTCTCACAGATGTCAATGAAAACATACTTGGTGTTTAAAATGAAAAACTTAAACTGTTTTCCTGATAAGCCTACATTTCAAACATTTTCTGAAGCTAAAAGAACAACTTACATTTGACGCCTGTGGCTCCTTACCAGCTGCAGGCAGTGAGTTAACAACCAGACGAGCATGTGAACTGTGTCTGAGGGAATACAACATGCAACTGCGGCTGAGTCACAAACTGCTCCCACCAACACACTCCAATTAACAATCGCTGTCACTTCGAAGATTGTTGCAAGTGTTCCTTCCACTAGACCATGAAGAAAGACAGGAGACAGGTACCCTGGCATACACCTGTAATCCCAGCACTCAGGGAGACAGGAGACAGGTACCCTGGCATACACCTGTAATCCCAGCACTCAGGGAGTCAGGAGACAGGTACCCTGGCATACACCTGTAATCCCAACACTCAGAGAGACAGGAGATAGGTCCATGGCACACCTAAAATCCCAGTAATCATGGGCAAAGTAGTAGATAACAGATCATCCTAGGTTACATAGTGAGACCCTGTGACAGGGTACATAACAATCTATCTAGACAACACAAAGAAAGGACCAAGAACAAATCGGATGATTTTCAAAGCTAAGAGATGTTTCATGAATCAGACATCAAACAATCAGTTGATTTTCATCAGAAAAAAGAAGAAAGAAGTAAGATGAACCTTCACCCAACACAGAAATAGAGAGAAAACCCTGTGTCTATCAACATGATGTTTGAGGTGCTAGAGGCAACCACTCTCATTAACACTAAGTCAAGGCTAAGAGTCAGTGGTCAAGACAACTGTGAAGTCTCAATACATCCACATTGTGAATACTGCAGAGGAGAAAGGGTGTATTTATACGGATACATGACATTCTAAATACTGGCCAATATGTAGATGAGGTCCAGTAGACTGGACCTTGAGTCCTGGCTGTTCGGGAGGCTGAGGAAAGAGGGTGGATGACGTCCCGGAGTTGAAAGCCAGCACCAATAACACAGTAGACCCCTCGACCATACTGAACAACTTGCTCCTTTCTATTTCTAAAAGAGGGTGACTTATACACTTTCAAGATCTGACATTCTAAAATCCTGGGAATGTTTCAAATTTAGGTTACAAAAACAGTTTAAAAACTTAAACCACCACTTAAGAAACTGTAAGCCTCTCACCAGCAGTCCACCAGCAGTCCGAATTAACCAGGTAATCGTTGGCATAACAGGAATGTAGCACAATGTTCCCAAAACAAAAAAAGTACTCTACAAAAAATAATGCATGCCTCATATGCAGATAGACTGAATTACATTTCAAATGCACCAACCCCTGCTTCTTAAAGGGCGCCAGTGCATTTCCTTCTCTAACAGGAACTCACTTCCCATTTACCAAGCTCTGCGTGTGTGCATGTGTGATCACCACTGAGCGCTGTTCCTCAAGAGCATGAGTCTTTAGAACGCTGCAGACAGTCGGTGCAGAGAGCAGAGGTCAGCGGCCAGGCTAGTGGACGGGACAAGTGGGAGATGGAAACTTCCTGCCCACTCTTCCCATACTGCGGCCTCTAACAGGAACCGCAGTGCACACATCAGCTTCCCTCTCTACTCATGACCTTCACTGGGATAACTGGGCAAACAAGGAATAATACAAAAGACAACACCATTCAATTTCTTCCTAGATACCAAGTTCCCAAGAATCAATTAGAAGGCTTTTCTCGTGGTGTCTGAATCACAAGGTGTCTTCCCTCACTCCAAGAGAAGCATTTCTTCCCGTAGAAGGAATTGTCCTTCCCCCACGCCTTTTCATCTTTGCTTATTTATCTTAAAATTATGTTTATTTAAGATATACAGCTATGCATGCGTGAGTACATGTGAATACGTACACACACTTGTGGGGTAGTGTGTGTGTGTGTGTGTGTGTGTGTGTGTACATGAAACACAGCACCAGGAGGGAAGTAGAAGAAATCTTCAGAAGTCAGTCTTCTACTCTCCTCCTGCTATGTGGGTCAAACTCAAGCTGTCGGGCTAGTCCTTTGCCGGAGGAGGATGTTCTTTAGAAGACTGGGGAGCCATCTCCACGCCCGCCAGTTTTTATCAAGTTTTACTAAGTCCAGACTCTGCATTTGAGAGCTTGGCTTACTCCCCTTAGCGCAGTAATCTGTGGTGGCAGAGCACTTCCACACGAACTCGGCTGACCCTCGACACCAAGTACTTCTGGTACTTTCTTTTACTTCTTTCTCCAAGTTCACTGTAGAAGTCCTTCCTTTCTTTAGAGGCTGGTTGTCCTTGAGACATTTTGTTCTTAACTGTGTAAAACTCATGAGGGATTGTTTTCCAGGTTTCTTTCTGTTTACTTATTTGGTTTTTTTGAGACAGAGTTTCTCTGTGTAGTCCTGGTTGTGCTGGAATGTGCTCTGTAGTCTAGACCTCAAACTCAGATATCCACCTGCCACTGCTTCCTGAGTGTTGGGATTAAAGGCATGTTGTGGTGGCATTTCATTTGTATTTTAATAAATAAAACTTGCCTGAAGATCAGAGAGTAAAACAGCCCCACTGGTCAACCTTACAGACCAGGCTATGGTATCACACACCTTTAATCCCAATAGCCACATTAGTTTGCCATAGAAATCAGGTAGTGCATGCCTTTAATCCCAGCCCTAGAGAGGAATATAAAATGGGAGGAAACAGCTCTCAGACACAGTCTCATTCTGAGATTCCTGGATCACCATTTCAGACTTAGGTCAAGGTAAGAGCCAGTGGCTGGCTGTTTTGCTTTTTTGATCTTCAGGTTGAACCCCAATTTCTCTGAGTTTTTATTAATCATGCTTCATGCATCACCATGCTTGGCTTCAAGGTTTCATTCTTAGTGTGATCATTACTGTTACATAGAAAAACGACTCATTTTCCTGCATGCTGACACCTCGCTGAAAGTGCTATTAGACCTCGTAGTTTTCTGATAGAGTATTTTAACAAAGGACCACAAAGATGGAGAGATGGTTCAGTGGTTACAGGCATTTGTTGCTCTTGCAGAGAACCAGTTTGTTTCCCAGCACCCACAATGGCTGCTCACAACCCCTGTAGTTCCAGGACACCCGATGCCCTCTTCTGGCCTCCAGGAGCACCTACATGCTTGCAGTGCACACACATACACTCAGGCACATACACATAAAATTATAAGAAATAAAGTTTTTAAAAGCTACAGAAACAGGCTGGAGAAATGGCTCAGCAATGAACAACACTGGCTGTTATTCCAGAGGATCTGAGTTCAATTTCCAGCAGCCTTACGTCAGTTAACAATGTTGGGAGCATAGCATAAAGGCCCTTGAGCCCGCAGATCTCCAGGGAAACCAGGAATGGTAAGCAATGAAAGACAGGGTTGTCTTTCCAATGGGAAAGATGTAAGGTCTGTCCTTCCATACAGAGCACTGGAAATAGGAAGGGATTAACAGGCTGGTGAGCTGTGT